ACACACACACACACACACACACACACACACACACACACACACACACAGGCACACATTAGGCTAAAGTAAAATATTTTAACTGACAGCAGCGTTTGCCTCTGTTTGTTTCTCTTTGCATTCTCGTTTCCAAAGCTACCACGCAGTGACTTCGTGGAGCCGGGTGAAGGGGATGGGGATCCCTTTGTGGAAAGCAGTGGAGGTGACGCTGATCTGGCTGGTTGCTGTGGTGCTTGCAGTCCCCGAGGCACTGGCGTTTGACATGATGGAGATGCCCTACAGAGGCAACAAGCTGCGGATCTGCCTCCTGCATCCAGAACAGGCCACTAGCTTTATGAAGGTGGGCACTTGGCATTGCACTGAACGCGTGGCCTGACAGTAGGGTAGGATGATACAGTCACTGTATCAGTAGAACTGTCAGGTTTCCACGAGCAAGCAAACCTCTTCCGAACCTCATGCATGTAACACAGAGCCCTAATTCCCATGATGGTAGTTTGTTCATGGGACTAATTGACATGAAAACCAATGCACAAATATTTGTCTGCATTTGTGATTGGCAATCAATCCAAGTGTTAAAAGGCGTAAGAATTGTATTACATTTTTCTTTCCAGTCTTTTTCTGTCTCAACAAATCCATTGTGCTCGTCAGTGCTGGATTCAGTACGTTGGTCGTGCTTTTTGGAGAATTAGCTTTCTGGCATAGCCCTCGTGTGTTTAAAGCCTCCACTAAAATATCCACATTTGATTTTCTTTGGCCCAATAAGTCAAAAGTTATCACTTAAATTGTTTGCTTTTAAGACACTTTGGCTATTTCATAGAGTAGAGGGCCACTGGCAGATTATGTTTATGTTTATGTGAACACAAATGTGTTCTAATTTTTCTGAAACAGAAACCCGGCGAGTGAGTTGCATACAAGCTTACTCATGCTCTACTTTGTTCACTAAAAAGGCACGTCATTGTGCATGGAAATATATCCAAATCTTGTTTTAAACGGATGGTGGTTTTGTCAGATGACAGAGATCTTATGGAATCAGGATTTCTGCTTCATCATAGCAACGCCGTGCATAAAAATGGACAAAGCCTGGGCAACTGACAGGAACCTTTATTCTTTTTAAAATTGTGGACTTATTTGGCAGCTTAAAGAAAAGAGCCGAAGATCTGTGGGGACATCATCAGTGCGCTTATCAGCAACATTATTTTTGCTACGTTTAGCGATTACTTTCACTTAACTTGAGTTAATTTATATCCGAATAGGTTGCAACACAGTGTTCAGATTTGTGAACAAATCACATCGGTTAGCTTTATGCAAATATGTTGCATGTTGGAAGTAAGAGCCTGGACTGTTGATGAGGCCTTTAGAGAGGCTCAACAGTCTAACTTTGCTGGGTTTTACATGCACAAAATGCTCTACAACACACCAAAGCCTTGCATGATCTGTTGAATGTTTTTTGAGCGTGCAACTGTTCAAACAAGAAGCTAAAGTAATTAGCTTATCTGTTAGGGTACATTATGGGCAATTTGCTCTTTTCAGGATTGCAGCAAAGAGAAGTGTTTGCTGTGTTACTGGATTTACTTCATGTGTACTTATGTGATATTCTGTCAACAAGAAGTAGAAATGCATTTCAAGTCTGTTGATTCAAAACAAAGTACAGAGATGGGAAAGTGGGTAGCAAGTAACCCCGAGGTCAAAGGTTTCAAACCATTCCCATTAAGAGAACCAGTAGAAAGTTCTATGACATTCTGTTCTGCAATTATTGAAATATTTCTTTCTGGTCCAAAAGCAATAAGCTGGCCTGAAAGGAATAAAGCCTGACACCAAAAGGGCTTGTTTATCGTAAAACAAGATAAGGATGATGAAATGCACGTGAAAATATGCGCGAAGATAACAGCTAAATTAATTATTTCAATGACATGATATACTCCAAACAGCTGCAAGATTTCCTCTTTCTTAGAAATAAAGAGCAAATAAGAACAGAACAGCTATAGTTTGGCAGTGTATTTAGTATGTATCAATGTCTCACAGACATATGGCCAGAATTCCCCCGCATTTTCATCTAGATTTAAAAAGGAAAAAAGAAAAAACATTGGATTCTTTTCAGCGTGCACCTGGTCTGTCTTTTGAGTACAGTTGTCAACCGATTGGTTCACTTTACAGCTAACAGCTTGGACAGCAATGTTACTATTAGTGTTTGTTTAATCAAGTCCCTTTTTCTTATTGCCAAAAGGCAATCACTGAATAAAGAATTAAAAAAATAGAACACAGCACGCCGCATGTTAATCATCGTTATGTGACCTTTTCTCACGATAGTCATGTAACCCTCATAAAGCAGTGCAGGAATATGGGAATTACAAAGAGATTTCAGAAATGTGACCTTTACAAGACAGTAGCAAAGGGCTGAAATCAAAGCATAACAAAGTTAACTGTAATTTTTGTATAATGTCATCACTAAAGAGCCAATCGAGCCAGCGGGGTACTGCTATAGTTGAGGAAATGTCCTCAAGTATTCCAAAGTTTGAAAAAAGTTCTAAATGGAAAATGAGTACAGACGGGTTGATTTTTGCAGCGAACTGTTGAAAACGTCCAAACCAATTTCAAAATCTCCCATTTTCACGCTTTTTCTTTTTTCCGTCTGGAACAATGTTTCCCATCTAACCTCCGCTCTCATTTCGGTTTCTTCAACTTGTCTTGTTGTGTTCGTAGTTCTACCAGGAGGTCAAGGACTGGTGGCTGTTCGGCTTCTACTTCTGCTTCCCGTTGGCTTGCACGGGGATCTTTTACACGCTCATGTCCTGCGAGATGCTCAGCCGTAAAAAAGGCATGCGCATCGCGCTCAACGACCACATGAAACAGGTACGGGCCCGGCGTGTGGAGACTAACGGGGACAGTCTGGGGAGTCTCTCATGTTCTTCTTGCCCGTGCGTTGGTGCAGCGGAGGGAAGTGGCCAAGACGGTGTTCTGCCTGGTGCTGATTTTTGCCTTCTGCTGGCTGCCCCTTCACCTCAGCCGCATCCTGAAGAAAACGGTCTACGACCAAAATGACCCCAACCGCTGCGAGCTGCTCAGGTAGGCGCGCAGATATCCGACACAGTCGCAGAAAAAACCTTCAGGAGAAGCCATTGTTCTTGTTTTGTTTTTTACTTCCTGCCGTCTTTACCGCTAACTCTGCCCTTTCCCCCCCACCACCACCAGTTTCCTCTTAGTGATGGATTACATTGGAATCAACATGGCCTCTCTAAACTCCTGCATTAACCCGATTGCCCTCTACTTCGTCAGCCAGAAGTTTAAAAACTGTTTCCAGGTAAGAAGGAGACCCTTTGGCACCAACAAAAAGAAGCGATATCATGCCAAAAAAAAAACTTTTTTCCTGTCTCCTAGTCGTGCCTGTGCTGTTGGTGCTACAGGACGTCCCCTCTGGATGAGCGGGGCTCGGGGGGCGGATGGAAGGGCTCTTGCCACGGCAACGGACTAGACCGCTCCAGCTCCCGCTCCAGCCAGAAGTACACCAGCTCTTCATAAGCCCGCGCGCAGACGTCTGCACGCGTCCGCTGCTCAGCCAAAACTGCCGGATCCGAGCTCCCACGAACGGAGAAACAGCGATGCCACTGCCGACATACCGACGATCAGACCTGAGTCCTGGGGATTGAAATGGAGAAGGGGGGAAGGTCTCTGCTGCAGACCTCACCGCAGACTGAACGGGCACAGAGATCAACCCAAACCGATGAACAAAAATAAAAAGACTGTAGCCGCTCGGCCTGTAATACTAACACAAAAGCTATAACGAAACCAAAAGCTTCATAAATGCCTTTTGTACTTTGTCACTGAGGCTTGTTTTGTGAGACTTTAAGGCTCTCGGCGCATCAGAACGTCAAATGTATTTTGTAGAGGACGCTGAGCCACTTGTAAATGTATGTACAGTGTTATTTACATGTAGACTGAAGACATTTGTTTATATTAGCCACAGTGCGACATGTATGAAATCGGCACTGACCACTACCTGTTGAAGCTGGAATACCTCACGGGCAAAGCCCGAGGGAAACTGTGTGGTCTCTGAGTCCTCAAAGGACTGGCACCTTTGAGACCCGGCACCTCAGAGTTGCCAGTCTTTTGACGAAGCGTCTGAGCTCAGTCCATGTAGTTCTTACTCAATGCCCCCGTATGCATTGGTAACTTCATATCTGAGTAAAATGGGCTCCACTGTGTACCTCACAGTCATGCGGAGCGTTGCGCATCGGGAATCTTTCATCACTGCTTTCAAAGTCATGTGGGGCCGCATGGTGTTTAAAGAGCAAAAGGAAAACACCAGATGATCTCCATCATGCATCGTCTTTAAGGTCCTACATTCTGTCTGACAAAGTAGCTTCTATTTTTCCCGGAAAACGGCAGCGAGCACATGAAGCGCTCGTGTAAGCGTCCCACCCGAGGTGCCCACTTATCATTTTCATTCATCTCTCCTCCATCGGACGGAGGCAATGTCCTAAAGCATGCTCCTATTGCTGGAAGTTACTTCTGAAAGCTGCTTCAGGAATGTTTTTTTTCTCCCTTTTTCCTTTGTTTTTTAAATGAGCCATTTAAAGGCGACGAAATCTGTGTACAGTTGGATGATGTGGTTTTAGATGAGACTTATTTTTACTGTATAGTACTCAAGCGGGCGTCACACGTCTGTATGTAGGATGTGCAATGCTTTGGCATCCTGCTAAAGATGTGCATTGTGAACTAACCGAAGGCTTTTCTGGTTGCCCCTGCAGTCGCAATTCACCCGGGGTGAGCTTGCATCCTATGAACCCACAAAGGATTAATCAAGTATATGGTCTATGTAAGTTTGGATGGATACTCATAATATGTAAGAATTAGTTTAGAAAAAAAAGGCTCTATTTAAATTCTGGAAATTTGAAGGACCTTGGGATTAATCTGTGCATTTAACATTGCTAAGAAGAACTTCAGCACCAATCAAATCAAATACAGTTTGAGTTGAGTCTATATCTAATTCAGTCTACTTCATATAATGCCAATTACTCCCAATGGATTGTATAGAGTCGTGAACAGGAAGGACCCTGAATCAAGGAGCAGACTCAGGAAGGGTGGTCATCGGCTTTGACCTTTTTAGTTGTGAGAAAGCTCATCATTTAAACATGCTACGCAACCTTCATTAAACCTGTATTTCACCGTGAGAGTGTGTTCCAAGGTTCAGAACAATGTTGAGTGAAAACATGTTGAGAGAATGTGGAGTCCAGGATGATTTAAATGCATTTATACAGTACTTATTTGTTCAGAGTATTCATAATAAATATGATTTTACAGCATTTGAGTTATTTACTGACAAATGCATGGACGTACGGTCATTCCCAGTAATAGCTGCCTGGCATGCCACACTGCACATTCATACAGGACACGCAGAAATCAGTATGATGAGAAATGGAGAAAGATTTAACAAAGCACTCAAAAGCACCAAATTTTCCAGATGAATGAAGGAGTAGTGAACTGAGAGACAGCCAGGGAAAATCATCGTATTATTAACAGCCTGTAAAAAATAGCATGATAAACATGATTTATTTTCTCCTCTTTTTTGTTGAAAGGCTACATTTGGTTTTCATCTCATTTAATAAACCCTCAAAGAAAAAAAAATTATATTTCGAGTTGCCTGGTCCAACAATGATTGCCTGGACATGTGGACGTTGCAGGTTGTTTCCAAGAAGGAGAATTTTGTCCAAATATAGCTGATTAAATCTGGAAAACCTCTCCCTCTCTCTCTATATATATATGCATATATATTCATTCATTTTTTTATTCTATTTTATTTGCAAGATCTTCTCAGGTTTCAGATTTCACCGGGTTCTGCTCTTTTTCTGTTCAACTGCTTCTTGGAAGACGACCACAAGTTCCACAAGACAGAAAACCTTATTTATCAGTTGTAACTCAGACTAATTCCTTCGCTGTGGCTTATGAGGTTTGTGGAGAGCTGTTTAGGGAAGCCAGTCAGAAGAATGTTGCTGGATTTGAACGACATAGCGGAGAAAAACAGCAGAAATGGCGGTGGACTGTAAATGTCCTGTTCAAAGATGCACAGCCCAAACATTAATAAATCCTAACAAAAGAAAAGAAAAAGATTTAAAGCAACAAATCATAGCTTGTTCCTTTTGTTTTGTTTTTTCATCAGAGCTGCTGTTTCTTAATGTCGGTTTGTTTGCTGCCCCTACTACTGTGGACTGTCATCAGCACAATGTGTTTTAAATCAAACTTGGAGTGAAGTGGAAGTTCATTCGGCTTGCCACAAATCCGGAGTCTCAGGACGGTCACAGCTCCACATCAAACATGAGGAAACACAGTCAATAACGTGAGGAATACATTCACAGGGGTGTTACAGCGTCCCATCCCTGCCGTAAAGTAAAATGAGAAAAAAATATATATATACTTTTCTATTTGAGAAGCCACGTCCAAGTCTTATGCCTGTTGTGGTTTTTAAGGATCTTCTTACAACATTTGAGTGTTATGTCCCTTTAGAAAAAAAAAAAGGAAAATTATAGTTTTTTTTATTCTTTAAGCCCTACCATAATGTTGACCAACTCTCTTATTAGTGAATCAAGAAAATGTTTGAAATTAATATTTCTTAACGCAAAGACTTTTTTGTTTATATAGTGCTACACCCCAAGAGACAAACCGGGCAAAAAATTCTGAGCAGCACATCAAATCATATTAACCCAAATCTAAATTAATCTGACGCATACATCCAAGTCCATGAAATGAACAAACAAAAACAACAAATAAACACTCACCCGTCATGAAAAACCTATGATTTAATCCCCATTCTCATGCACAGTACGACACGTATTCTAATCGTGTTTGCACAGGCCGCAATCACTGACAGTGCACATCAAACAGGGCAGATGGCAGGAAATGCTTTGCTGCGTACTGTGAGATTGCATTTGCAAGATAAAAAAGCAAAGTTGCCTGTGTTCTGTGGAACATTACCGAGAACTGAGCAGCCCTAAAATAACCCCTGCAATCATAAAACCTAACACTGCAAACTGTGCCGGAGCGGCTAGCTTCAAGAAGCTAAAATGAGTCAACACTTCAGGTTCTGAATGTTGCAGATGAACAGATCAACATACAAGGAAGTTTTGTCATAGGTCTATTTCAGTGCCATCAGCACAGAGCTAAATAAAAATGTCCATCATCATTATTTATCATCATTGCAAAAAATCCTGGTTGAAGTCATGATATGCTGGTCACGCTGGCCAGTAGCTTTCTCTCTTTACTAAACATATGATCACTTATTATGAGCAGTTTATAATTTGCAAAAATGTAGATGTGTATATATGCGTGTATGTGTTTCTAGGCTACATTTCACAGGCCTTTACCAGTCTGTTCAGCAGTCTACCCGTTTAAACCTTTCATTATTTTTAAATATTTCCTCTACAGCTACAGATTTGAAGCAAAATAAAGATTTTAAAATATATCAAAGTTACTGCCCCAACCATTTAGAAAGGTCATCTGGAATCTATCACCCGTTTCCACACACCAAAAGGTTGTTTTTACCAAAAACAACCATATCATTTTTCATCTTTAGGAGGCTAAATCTTTGCAGTCACTGTATTGATCCTTTGCTAGCAACCAGACTTTTATTTCCATATTGCTCCCTCAACAAAAATGGAAGGAGGGAAAGATTAGCCAACAATTTGTAACATGGAATAGTGAACCGCATGGGTGTTTGTTCAAAAGGCATGGTGAGCAGACTCTTTCCATCCTTATTGTTTATGCAAAGCTACAACAGCTACTCGCTAGCTGTCATTTCATTAACCAGTAAACGTGGTGACACAAATGTTGCTTTCAAAACTTAAGACACTGCTTTCCGTCAAACCCCTTTTCTCATTTACTTAGGCAAAGGGAGTCGAGTTCACTTCTACCAAACTGCTTCATGTGGCCATGTGATTTGACAGAGGGACACGAGTGACCTTAAATAACTGTCTTCCTAACAGGTTTTCCCCCCCGTTTCCCCTCCATCTTCCTCCACTGTATGAAGCCCCTCGCCCCGCATTCCTCGGCTAATAAGGACATTCCAAACTTCCATTTTTCCAATTTCTTCACTCATCAAATGCGGCTTCAAAAGGACAAATGAGGGCAATCGGCTGTTTGACAGCCTTCTCATTTAGGGTTTGGACATCCCTCAATATGGTGTTATGTGAGGGATTGTGAAAATAAATAGAGCAGCAGGAGTCCAACGGCACACTGAAAACTGTTACAGGATCTACTTTGGAACCCCCGAAAATGGGAAACTTAAAGTGTTTGTTGGCAAGTTCTGTCTTTTAAACCAAAATTCACTCATCAATCCAGCAGCAAAGGAATGATCAACATTAGGCTTATGCACATTTATTATACATCATATATCAATCTGACCTTCATAGAAAAACAAATCTGTACAACAAGTTTAAATACGACTGCTCTGGAGGATTGGAGAAAACAGAAAAAACAGGAGAAAAAAAATGTTTTTTTTTTAGGTAGTTAGTGACGACCATCATTCCATGGGTTGCTCCTGTCTCTCTTTGAACTCGTTGACTCTTGCCTGAGAAATAACAAGACAGCATGGAATCAGAATTAGGAATTTGTGCGCAAATGGATATATAAACAAGAACATTCTTGGTTAAGACGCTTCCATGTAAACAGAATGGGCAGCAATTAAACTGTGTAAACTTAAAAGTAAAAGAAAAGGTGGAATGTCCCCTTTAGGGAAATTGGGTGAGATTCCTTAACTTTGAATTCTAGAAAATTACTTTTTTTTTGTGTATACCACTCTAAAAGTATACAAGTGCTGAAGAGAAGCCGTTTCTCAAAGTAAAGAAACAAAGCTCTCCACAGCACTCACCTGAGCACGCTGGCAACTGGAGTGCTCTCAATTCAGCCTGCGAGCACAGAAGTCTCCATCCACACGTGCACTTACGTTAGGATAAACAAAACTTTTACTCTACCAGTCTGGTGACCCCACCCACCAACACCTTTTCACTTTGAGTTTTCATAGTCACATCCGCTGCAGCGTAAATACGTGGAGTTTTGTTTATTTTGATTTGACAGTATAGAAATACAGTTGTTCTAATTGTAACGCGCATATTGGGTTAACTTCTGTGCATCTAATTTAGTCAAATATCGTTTTCTTTGCTGGTGCTGGGGGGGGAGTTCCTTCAACTGGGCTGAAGCAACTGTGGGTGGCGCACTCCAGTCCCCAATTGACTGACTGGATGATACTATCTGGAGTTCCATCATGGGGAAGACCATGGAGTCTTTATTCTACTTTCTGCGTCATTTGTCTTTGCATTTGTGATTTGGTTATTTTGTTAATTTTGTTTAAGTATTAGTCATTTACGTTAAGTTGTAAGCTAACTGTGTTTAGTATTTTCGTTGAATTTGTGTAGATGCTCCCCTTCCCTTTTCCTGTGTGTCTACTTTGTTTGTTGTGTGTCAGGTCAGTTGGTTTATTTGAGCAGTCAGTTTAAGGGTTATTATGTTCAACCTTATTTTTTTGTCTTGATTTAGTTTATTCATTTGAGCACTTTTAAGGGCTCTTTAATTACTGTTTGGAATGTTGTTCTTTTGGGGAAAAATAACCCATTTTTTCTTGAAAATCATTACTGTGTCCTCAAATGCTAAACCGGCTCGGTCCTTCACACAAGTGCTAAAGCAAATGTGACAAAACCAAGAGGGTGTTAAAAGCGCTACCTGAAAGGTGTTGAGAACGTGCTGACAAACGTCATTGAGCTCGGTCAGGCCCCTCCTCAGCGGCTCCACAGCTGGAACTCCCCCTGAAACCAACACTGGGTTAAACAGCTTGCAGCCATAAGAAACAAGAACGAAAGCTGCTGTTCGAACAGGAGCGCGTTTTCATTTGCTAAATCTTTATGTGACAGAGAGGCAACTTATTCTTCCTCAGTGATGTGTTGCTGCTTCTGGTTTGATTGTGTGTGTGTGTGTGTGTGTGTGTGTGTGTGTTTTGGGGGGGATATAGGAGAGCAATGAACAAGAGGGACAAAGAGGTGCTGACAATCGAGCACTTTCGTCCAGAATCACCTGACCTTAACCCCACTTAACGCACAGGGGGGTCACTTGAAGACAGACAAAGCCGAGCATTCCTAGCATGACAAGGAGCTCTGAGACAGCAGGAGCTGAGGTTCAGCTTCTGCACAAACTTGTGTCCCGACGTCCAAACAGATCAAGTTCTGCTGCTGTTGACCCATTAGCCAGTATTCCAAAAGGGTGGGCATTCCTTTGCTCATGTTTGGACGGTGGGCGCTGTCCCAGTGGGTTAACGTCGTAAGGGGGGACGGGAGGATTGAAACAGCAACCCTTGAATCCTTAAAATAAGTGGTTTGTTGGTCGTTTCGCTGTTGAAAAGATATTTCATGCATAGGCCTGTGTGGCCCAAAAGTACAGTGCAAGTATAAACGGTCTGAGTTCTCACCGTTAAAAACTGTTTTTTAAGATGCAGAGTACGCATCCAAAGTTGTCTTTTTTTTCTTCTGAACTTTTGGGGTTTTTGCTTTGATGAAGCCGTGAGAAAAGACCCTCCATCCATCCAGAAACTCTGTTCAACACTTGTGAAGTGCCTTTACGTGATGGGCCTGCTGTTCATTGGCAAACTGCCACACTTTTGTTTTCTCCCCTAAATGAGGGATTATGGCTCTCCAAAGAGAGTACGCATGAGCACGTATGTGACTCGGAGTCCGAGTGCCTTAAGTGAATGCACAAGACTCCAATCAGCGTGTTTGCTTTGCACCGCGGCCCGAAAACGCTTCGTTCTCCGGCCGTCCTGCACAAGTGTGCAAATAAACAAGAGCCGAGTTGGCGAGTTTGACGGACAGGGGATGGTGTGAAGTGTGTCGACAGGCTCCCCTCTCACCTCGCGTCTGAATGCGAAAGTTGATCTTGCTCTCAGACGGGTGGGTGATGGTGTAGCCGCAGAACTCCACATCCGTGCTGACAAAAAGGAAACAGGAAATTCAGAGTGAGGTCTGTGATTATCACGGGTGTTTTGTTTTGTTTTTTTCTTTGAAAGGCGTGTCAGTGGAAAAATATTAATCAGTCTTTCAGCTCATTCTGGCAGGCGGAAACCAAAACACAGGGAACAAGGAAACCTCACGTACGCAGAGCTCGGATCATGAACTGAAGCAATTATTCCTCTGACACACATACATTGGGTTACTCTCTTAGTACAAACAAATCCCTCTGGTGTGTGTGTGTGTTTGGTTAAAGTCTTCTGAAAAGAGGAAAACATCCCAAAATCTGTGCCGCTCTACATGCTGAGTTTAACAGATAGCATGAACAAAGGAATACAAACACTAGCACTGACTTCTTCATGATCATGTATCTGAGGGAGTTGCCCAGTGTATGGTCCTCATCATGCAGCACGAAAGTCACACAGCCCTCATCGGCCCCGTCCGCTTGGACCTTTAACACAAAATTAAACACTTAATTTAAAACAAGAAAAAAAAACATACAATAAAAAAGGGCTAATAAATGTCATATTCCATCCTTTTTAAACCCCTAACTATCATATCCCTTTCATCGTTTGCAGGCCTTAAAATTAGCTTTAACCCCGGTTGACTCTGCGTTTTGGGCCAGTAGAAAGTGTCACGCAGCTGTCCGACATGGCCTGTGAGAACAAAAGGCTTCCATTTCTTTTTTCTTAAATGGAAATTGCGGTGTTTTTGTGGTCATCCGTGGTGCTTTGTGCGATGTTTTTCTCATAGTTATAGTCTAACACTGATCTCCTGAATGTCATCACACAGCACAATGATATCATAAACAACTGCTTCAGATTTTGTTTTGGTTGGAAAACCGGTCTCATCTCAGCATCACAGCACTGAGTAAATGAAGCTAAAAAACGGGCCTGACTAAACTTACAACATTTCATTCACATGATGGAGAAAGTTTAGTTGACAGAGAAAAGTTTGATGGCTGGGAAAAAATGGTTTCAGCTACTGATTCAGCTGCTAATTTTGAGGCTGCATTAGTGTGTGGTCAGAGTTGAGTGGAAACCAGTGAACTAATCCCCTAATCAAATTATTTAATCATACTTGGCTCCAAATGGACTGGAGGAACATGAAACATTTGTAATAATGCTCCATCTGCAAATTTGAAACTTAAATGGGGGAATGCGGGGTTTTAAGGCTACCGGAATTCCACTGATGGAACAGGAAAAAAAATGCCTATTTTTCAATACCACTTTAATTAATTTTCATTTGCAACTTAATTATATTTAATATATACAAAATAACCCCTTCTTTGATTCTGAAATAGTTTGTGCTAAGTGTTTTCATATATCCGATACAAATCTGTCGCATTTAAGGAAATCTGGTTTACATTACACACGCGTGTACCTACGCACTGAGTTGCAGATGATTTAGTTTAGAATGCTGTCCCCAAGTGGAGAAACTGAGCTAGACCGGGACCAAGAAAAATGACAATATTGCAAACGCACGAACTGAACTTACAGAAACCCCTACTTACACAAAAATATAGACAAATTTAAGAATGCAGGAGCAGAAAAGCTTTCAGTGTTGTCCGTGCCCAGGTAAGATAGCCACCCTCTCTTCGCTAGCTACAGTAGCTACCCCACGTGAGGAGTTGACAAACGCTCGAGACGCTCTCTAGCGTAATATATAGGAAATTAGCCACCCAGTGTGGTTTAGGTATTTTAAAGTCTATTAGTGAAATGCCCTATCACCCCATTGGCAAAACCATCTTCTTACCATTTCAAGAAGTATTTTCTTTTCGCTTTCCCCGGCCATGCTCCTCGGTCTTTTCACGTTTGTCAACAGTAACAAAATATATTTTTCCCTTAGCATGAACTGAAAGGCAGACAGAGCCGTGTCGGCGCTCTCGTACTGAAAATAATTTATTGTTATTTTCCTCAAACAGATATTTTTTTAACAGTTAAAACAGTTTAACCCTGGTGCGCATCATGATGAAACAGCAGTAGGATAGTACTATGAAAAAGTAATCAGACAATTGTGTTATTTTGCCAAACTACTGCCTGCAAGATTTTTACCCGGTCAAATAATACCCAGTGCTAGCCGTCCCGTCACCGTGGCATACATAGCAAACTACGTCAGAGACAAACTGAAAAATTGTAGTTCTAAGACCGACAGGAATGGATTGCAAACCATGGCAAAGGCGGCAGTAAGAACTACAATACCCTTCGATGACCAGACTTAGTTTCCGGTTAGGAGGATTTGCGAAGCAGAAGTCACTCGAAAGGGATTAGCTAGCTTGCTAGCAGCTGATATATTTTTAGATGCGGGAATTTGAGCGTAAATGAGCTACCTTGCACATCGCTAATACTTCAAGGTAAAACAATATTGGTTGTGTATCTGTTTAGGTCTTTGTCTTTGTTGCTAGAAAAACCGTTGCCTTTTTTTTGCTCAACAGCTGCATATCTGCCCAACGCCGCTATACATAAATTGATCAACAACATAGCTATAAAGGTTGTTCTCTCTCAGCTACTCTTATCTTACTATCGTTTTGTCCTTCGTGATTATCAGTAGTAAGAAGTTTTTTAGCCTAAAAGGGCAGTGACTATCATTTTGTTTGTTTGTTTTCCAACTAATAACTCGAATTTCCAGCTCATTGTCGTTGCTTTAGCTCCACTGCTAATTCGGTTTTATATTCTTTTGTCAACAGAAAGTAAAAGAGCTGAAAGCCCAGCTTGTTGCCATGGCGATCCTGTTTGCTGTGGTAGCTCGTGGAACCACGATTCTGGCCAAACATGCGTGGTGCGGCGGGAACTTCCTGGAAGTTACTGAACAAATTTTAGCCAAAATTCCGTCAGAAAACAACAAACTGACCTACAGCCACGGCAGGTGGGAGGTTAACCTACATGTAACGTGCCTGCCCCTCTCCCAAAACTCTTTCTCAGTTGACTGAATACAAGTGTTAGCTGACTGTGAGAATGACACAAATTTTTGTGTGCAATTGTGTGCTAAACAGTTGTCAAATGTCTTTTTGTTTGTATTTTGCAGCTATCTCTTTCATTACGTCTGCCATGACAGAATCATATACCTGTGCATCACTGATGATGTAAGTAGGCTTTGGTTTGGACATGAAAATTGCATTTATTGCCGTTGACAAGGATGAATCTTTATTCATCTTTATGAACATGCAAGGCATGAATTTAGTCCACATAGGTTCATTGTTTCAGCTGTGAGCATTATTATCCTTAAGAATAAGAGTAGGGTATTGATGTCACATAATATAAACATTTATTTAGCTTTTAGCAGCATTTGATATATTCTACAATTATCTTTGAACCTATCTTCATCATGCCTTTATGTATTAACTTTTCCATGTGGAAGGACTTTGAGAGGTCACGTGCATTCAGCTTCCTTGGCGAAGTGAGGAAGCGTTTCCAGACCACATACGGGTCCCGAGCACAAACGGCTTTACCCTACGCCATGAACAGCGAGTTCTCCTCCACGCTGGCAGCTCAGATGGTGAGTCCCAGAGCAGACTGTTGACAGGAAATTCACTGGTAACATTTTCTTTAAACAGAGGCAATTAAATAAGTCGTCTGAGCATTCTGTGCCGACGTACGGTGAGAAGTCTTTTGAATAACTAAAGGAAAAGTATGACTTAACCATTGCATCACTTTTTTAAATGAGGTTAAGTGTACCAAGTGAAGAGGAACAAAATATATTGTGAGATGGGAGTCAGATTTGACTATAACACTCATGTTTATGTAAAAGTAGTCCATCCACTGCTATAAATGGGTGAATAAAGACTATTTCTTGTAAATTCCACAGAAATGAACTCATTACGCAATTAAAAAGAATGACCTCCTCTTTGTATGATGTTGTTTTCTAGTAATTTCCCATTTTATTTAAAAGAGGAAGACTTTTTCTCTCTATTTTTCTAGCCTTTTTAAGTAATTTTCACTGTGTTAACCATGAGGCTTTAGATCTCGCATATGAACGCTTCGGAAAGAGATGCGAAAACTCACTGATATAACGGAGAAGTTGTAAATTTAACTAGAAACTCATTATAAAGTGTTTTTTAAAAATACTTTATTTATTAAATGAATCTTGAAATGTATTATTTTCCATGGTAAAATAAAGAATGATCATGAACTACTTTTGGATGGACTAAAGAAAAACAACTCAAGATGGGATATAGTAAATCAGGGTGAGAACTCGCACCTTTGAACTGTTTTGGTCCGACCCTAAAACTTTTGCAGGTTTCGTAAAAATCGGTCACTTTAGTCCTGTATCAATGGGACTTTTGTGCTCACAAACAGCCTAAAGCAGTGGCGACTGCTGTATAATTCATGTAGAAAAGCTGTAAAGTTAAGGGATTTTTAATGTCTCTGTAATACACTATGGTAAACATGCAGACATAATAATTAAGTACAAAATTTGAGGAAAAAGATTTTTTTCTGTCTTTATGTTTTCCTCTGTAGAAACACCACTCAGACCCACGGGGTTCAGACCGCGTCACAGAGACTCAGATGCAAGTGGATGACCTTAAGGGCATTATGGTCCGCAACATAGGTGAACTTCTCTCTGGTTTCTTCATTACAGAGTGGAGGGATGGGGCAACCCCACCACTGCAAAGATGCATATTTTGTCCCTCTCATCTGTAATTGAGCCTGCTTGAGGGTTAATTTTGAATATATAGTTCCAGTCATCTTTGGAATAGAATTGAACTGAACCAAGTTTGGCTCATGAGTGGGAAAACTATATAATTTCTCTTTGATTTGGGGGTGAGATAATTAATTAGCTCCAGCTTTTCAAATGTCTTTTTTTCTTTTTACAGACTTAGTGGCTCAGAGAGGAGAGAAGTTGGAGCTGCTCATTGACAAGACAGAAAACCTTGTTGATTCAGTGAGTTGACAAACTACTAATTGCATGTTTCCTGCAGCACGATCTCGAAATCTCTATGCTTTCTGCTAAGCCACTTATACACATATGTTAAGACTGATGTTATTTTCATTCCTTGCTCCACCAGTCGGTCACATTTAAGACCACAAGTCGTAACCTTGCGCGCGCCATGTGTATGAAGAACCTCAAGCTGACCATTGTAATTGTGTTGGTGTGTCTGGTACGTATAGGCACCAGTGATTCTGGTCAAGTTGTTTTTAAGTAAAAAAATATATATACATACATAATTGTCCCCCTTATGGGTGTTTTCTTAAAAGAAACAATGCATTTGAACAGTGTGGAAATCCTCAGACGTTGAACTTTGCGTGCTCTTTTCAGGTTGTCCTTTACATCATCGTCTCTGCAGCCTGTGGAGGCCTCAGCTGGCCCTCCTGTGTCAAGAAATGAGGACCGTGCGGGTATTAAAGAGGGAGATAAAGGAATAGGGATGCGGGGGAGAAGTGCCTGCTCAACTTTGTTTGCCAATGGACTTAAGGAAATGCAGCTTTCCTTGTTTTACTCCCCCTACCTTCAACATCAAAGGATGACACATACTTCTCCTCCTCCTTCCTTCCTCATCTTCCCTTTAAAAGTGTGCACATTTATTTGCCTTCTGGACCGGGAGTCCCACCTCATAGCCACACTAATGGATAGCCTTTTTACGTGGCCTAACACTGATGTGGAACAATAAATTCTGTCTTATTTTCATCTGGTACTCTCATCCTGTCTGAAGCTCGTGTTGGCCCACTGTATCCCTCTGTGATACTTTCCCTGCATCTCTCTGTGTAACTAATCCCTTCATACTGATGAACCACAAAGATGGTTAAACTTGTTTTGTTTGGTTTCGGCGTCAGTGGAGACACGCAGTCTGCAGGTATCTATAGTGTGCCGCAGGTCCATCAAGATGGCGTACAGTTGAACTGAAAAATACACTTTTTCATTTTTGTTTTACTGAACCCATGCAGTATCCATATTTTCTGAGCTAGTTCCACCACAGAGCACAATAGCATATTTTGAGATGAATGATTTGAAATAGCAGATACGATCATATGAATGAATCTTGTACTGATGTGTAATGGTTGTTTTAAAATGAGCCAGATTTGTTGGAAGATTAGACCTCTTCCTGTGTGAAGAGGATTGGAGGCTTCTATTTTTTTTTTTTTACCTTTTACCTCTCTTAGGCTGTTCAGTGTGCCCATATTTTCTTTCTGTTAACACAATGCACTTTTTTATTGTACATAGATTTGCTTTCTGGCATCTTATTGCTTATGATCGTGTAATTATTTAATTACTGTACATCAAGATTTAAATGAATAAAACCTGATGGTATCAAGTGTATGATCTGTACACCAGAAACACAAAAGAAGCGCTGTAGCATGTTATTTCGTTTTTTTAACAGAATACTGCAGAATTTTTTAATTGTTTCTCTTTCTTAAAGTTTTGTGATGCGTTGTTTTAATTAAGATTGGTGTAAATGGGGGGAAAAAAGCTAATTTTCTACCTAATTTTACTTAGCTAAAATGTCCTGACCGTCTCCCATATGATGTCCCAATTTCGCTGTAGAAGAATAGTGGGTTTAACCCGATAAAAAACTACACCAGTCGTATTTTACCACTATTACATCAGTGTCAGAGACCAGCCGTTTCGCAAATATATTAAATTAACGCTTTTTTAAAAACAAGCGTCATGAAAAAACGTTTGGAATTGTCAGAGTTAAGCGTTACAAACTAGTCTCGTGACAGACATTGAACGCGACATGAATTTGGTGCACTTACTCTCCACATAACCGATAAAACCGTATTTTTCATATTCTACACTGTTCGTGGTAACACATAGTTGTTATTCACGAGCAGACACAATTCAAACTTTCATTTTCCTTTCACATTTATCGGAAATAATAATATTAGTCAAGAGGCTTTCAGTGACGGTCGGTTCGAAGGGGATGCCGTGACCAGGAGAAACATGACCAGGTGGAACCAATTGTTCACTAAAACATCGTCAGTGCTCTATAGTGACGGGTATCTTTCAAGTTTCTCGCTACATTTTTTCGCACGATAATTTTTTTTAAAAAGAAGATTTTAGTAATTTAATTATCCACGAAAGGACTTAAATGCTGAACAGGTGGTAAGCCTATTTATGTCTTTTTTTCTTACATATTTTTTAAATGTACTACACGCTAGACGTGGCGTGTGGTACATTAGACAAACTAAAGTATAGACAAATACCAACAACCACTGCCAGCGTTTGACAAACACTAGCAAGCAGTCGGCCCCTGGTTTTTATTTACCGACCGTTGAAATTCACATTTGTTGGCAGCTAACTGTCTTGCAACAGGCCACGTTATCCGAAGCTTCTAAGACGTTTTCCTTTACCAGAAGAGAATGGAGTTTATGGAGTATTTCTTGGCGATTTGTAGCAACATACTGTGTTAACTCCTCACATGAATTTAAACTTTACTACTTCGAGGTAGAGGCCTCACACAAAGTTGGTCGGTCAGATGGAAGGGAGAGGTTGTTCTGACCACCTGAAAGAGCCCGGGAGAACTGAGGTTCCACAAACGCACCAAGGGGGGGGGGGGGGGTTCTTGTTTGTTCTTTTTTAAAAGCACACAGGGCATTAGCTTGAGGTTTTGATAAGAGTAAAATCATTAGTATGGAGCAAGGGCCTGCTAGACATAGATGGATAAAGAAAGAGGAATTTGTTTTGTCAAGAAGATCCTTAAACTAAGAAAAACAACCACCAGCCAAATGATACAAATAACTGTGATTTTGTGTCTCAGGTTGTTTAGCTCGCTTGTTTATTTCCTCCCACCATTTTAAAATAATTTTACAGCTCTGTGTTTACTGTGGTTTGCTTTTTAAAACTCCATTTTAAGTGGCATTTTCACATTGGAGTTGTTTTGCTTTTTTGCATCCTCTTCCCCTTTCCATCTGTGGTCATTTAATATCTTTGATATCTCATTTACATTAGGCCATTTTTCTCCGATCGTGAGAAAGGTCTGACTCTGTTAGGCATCTGTTCACGGTCGGGCTGTTCTATTCTCTCAGGATTAAACCAATGGAGAGTTTATAGACTTGAACACTTTCATACACCTGCAGTGCCAATCTCTTGTGTCATTAGTTTGTGTTCAGGTGGACAAGCTGCTCTTCTTTGCATTCGGTGTACTATCGCTATTTTAGGATAGTTAAACGGCTGACATGGCATGATAAATTTGTTTCAGACAACTGGGCTGTTTTCCCCCAAATGGAAAACAGCCATGTCATAATAAATGTCATTTATTCTGACTGAAAGATAGTTCTGTGCCACATTTTTCTTTGTAATTTTCTCATCGAGCTCATTGGTGTGACGGTAGCCTTGTCCATTCACAGCAATCTGGCTGGAATCCCCCACTTTGACCTCCTGCCCCCGTGTATAGTGGGGTAGCGCTGTGTCTGGGTGACTTTTGATGACATGCACTGCGATCCAGTACTGCTCATTGTGTGATACTAACATGCCCAGTCACTCATACAAAGCCTTTTAAGCTTTCTCTGTGGCGCCTAAGGGGCTTCAGGAATAGACAATTGTTGTGCTGTTGCTCTTACTCTGATTTCATTATTTTTTTCTTTCAAAACTTGGCCTGTCCAACATCATGCGAAGCACAATTGTTCCGTACAATACTGGGTTTCTACAAAATGCATGTGTCCAAGAGAGGCTTTTATAGTATAAAGCTCCCCTTTGTGCACAAGTATCGCATATTTATGTATTGTTGTTCAAATATTGCAGTCATTAATGCCAAACCCTACTGGGGAAAAGCAAAAGAGAGAAAATTAAGGAAAAAAATAGATGATATGGGAGAACAAAAAAAACAAAGTTGCCAGTACTTTAGAAACTTAATCTGTATTCTATTTGAAGATTATAACTGGCATTTGCATCCTGTAAGACGTAGTAAGGTACACTGTGGGTCCATTACAAACATTTTTGTTTAAAGAAAGCTAAAAAAATCACTTCAGTTGATCATATAAAATCTTAATAAGCTATCCATTTAAGATTTGACACTGGTGATATTTAATAAATACTCTTTGTCATATGTTTTAATAGAAATGGACATGGCTTCACCTTACTCGATCAGCTTTTGATCATGTGTTTCAGTTGCATAACACGACCATTTGATAAGGCTTCTCAAGATTAAAGAGTCACACTTTACTCTGGTGTGAAATACTCTTTGTAATGATTTACATCTCATCTCTAGTCAAGATTGGACCGCAGTTCCCAGGGTCACCGGCCTTGTTTAGATTAGGCAGAAATAGCAAGGGTCTTAGGGGTCTTAGGTTCTGGTGTCACAGCACAGCTCTCGTGTCCTGATCAGATGACGAGCTGTTTTTGCACAACATGAGGCCTATGGGGTGCATGACAAGGCCAGATTAGAGGCTTAGCGACTTATGTGGAGCTGAAAGTCAAAGATTTCAGCTTCCAAGAGGTAGATTTTATTTCAACTGTATAACCACTGTGGCTTGAACTCATAACCTGCTATGGAAAAGACTTTAGAGTTTCACTGATTCTGGTTTACTGGTAAATGTTGGTGTCAGAGACCGCCTGTCATTTTAAAAATCTGTCATTGCAATGCATTTAGATGTTGATCAGTTGGTATTAATTAGCATTTTGATTGTCAAATGGAACCACATTGATGTTTTTTTTCTTTACTCATGGATGTCTTTTCAGTATGTTATCTAAAGTGTTTAGCACACACTGAGTGTAAATCTTGACAAACAATCAGCCTTTTAGACCAAAAGTCAGTTTTTGACTCAACCTACCAGTGCAGCTTTACAGTTGGCGTAAAACATGTGAATCATGTTACCATGGTAACATGCATTCAGTTGATGATGAAAGCTGATTTAAATCATTAATCTTCACTTTGTTCAATGTCCTGCAATATGCTATAGTCAAAAAGCCAGTTTACAAGTTCTGCCCTCATTGCAGATGTACAAGAATGTTTGTTTCTCATAGTTAGCCTTAGTCTGTGGCCCTTGAACAGGTGTTTGTCATCCTTGAATCATAGATAATGTAGTAAAAAATTAAAAGTGTATACAAATAGTTGTGGCACGTTGAACAATATATGTATTAATCCAGATTTCGAGGGTTACTGCAGACATCTGCAGATAAGTTATCTTCTGTGTAAGGTTGAATTGACAGAACCTTTGTGCCAATTAACCCTTTCTTTTGATCTGAACAGCATTGGTAAAATTTAAAGCAATTTAAAGGTCTTTTCCTCAGTGGAATAATCCAGTCTATTCTCACTGTTGTCAGCTGTGAGCTGCTGTGCATTTGTTTTTATGTGAACCAAAAAAAAATGGCCCACACATTCAAAGTTATGATCACGTTGCATATTTACCCCCCCCCCCTTTTCATTCATCCAGTGCTTAAAAAGCCACCCAATCCACTCTCTCATAACACAGGACTTTGGCAGCTAAGCAACAGTGAATGCCAACTGAGACTTGTGCTCTATGGCCACTCCCCCTTCACTGTGCTCGGATAAAGTAACATGTCGTCCGTCTGCTCGCTCCAGTGGTAAACTTGGCAATGCAGCTTCACTGAGCACAATTCCAAGCTGGACCTTGACATTCTTGTTCTGGCAGCTCAGCGAGCAGCACAGTCACTGATGTTTTTCAGGCGAGCTGTTCAGGGAGACTGCTTACCGACTGCTGCTGCAGGCCTGTGTGGTCAAAGTCACATTACTTAAGGGAGGGGGTAAAAACTACGCCAAGGACTGTAAAGGTGGGGGGCACGCTCTCTCAGGCGCTGCTGTTATTGATGCCTCGCTGATTTTGAACACGAGGAGGTAAGAGTAGCGGAAGCCGACTTGTTCACCCGCTGTGGTGGTTTGGAGTGGAACCAGAGATGGGATTGACTCTCAAAGGCTAAAATGACATGAAACATAGATGACTGTGGAGGTATTTTCATCAGTGCAAATGACAGGATGGAAAGAAGACAAACAGAGGTGCTTCAGGTTTGTTTATTCTGTAATTGAGCAACAATTATCTGTGACATGTCAGAGATGGTTTTTACCTCTTTCCTTTTTGTTTATTGTTTAAACACTTTTTACTTTGAATCTCCATAGCTCTATTTTCCAGTAAACACAGTCGGGCCATTGTTGGCCTCAAGTGTAGTTGTACCTTACACAACACACAGCCCGCTGTCATGTTTCCAGACGGCTAAATCACTGTCTTTTATCAGTGTTCTGTTTGTGAATATATTACAGGGGCATTACAGGTGGAGCTCCTGCCAGGGTTCAATGTGCAAAGCAGCTTTACAGGTTCTATGTGTTTGCTTGCAGAGCTTGTGATGTCCAGTAAAGTGGGATTTTGTCCACCTTTTTAACAAACCAAATATTCACTCATCCTTGGATTATTGACTCAGGTGGGAAAAGTTGTTTCATTAAGTCTTATTCACTACAGAGATCATATAATGAGACAAGTTATTTATAGTCATATGAATTTGCCATTGAAATGTCTCCAATCTTTTAGGTGAGACCATTTTGTTTTTGGAATTTTTTAATGTGTTCTTTAGATTAGCGTTAAATTCTGCCTTGAAGTAAAGGTGTTTGTGGTTCTTCAACTGGTCTGTTTTGTCCTGCCTTAAGTAGAGCATTGTGTGGCATTTAAAGAGCAGGGAAAGAAAAGGCTTATTTTAATACCCTGGCAGCACGGCTTGTGAAATGTTTTTCCATCATGTTGCAACCAAAGCTTTTTGCAACAGGAACTGTCCTGGCACTAAAGTACACAGTCAAGATGGAGGCTTGCGGCCTGCCACGCAGGGATGGGAATCTAATATAAACACATTGCATATCATACCACACAAGACTTGTGTTACTAATACCACATCCGGTTTTTTAGGAGGATATCTTTGTTTTGTTAAGTGGAACATTTCATGACTGTTTGTTACCTGATAGGCTAATCTTTTGTGGTCTGTACCACAGCAGTGCCTTTTGTTGCAGTCGTTGCTTGCTCTTCACAACCTAGTATACTTACATAAACACAATAGTGGCACAGCAAAATCTTAAAACTTTTTCTTTCACTTTGTTATTATGGTTCATGAAATGTGATTCAGCAGAGAAGGCTGTAATAAGACAGACAGTATTGTCTGTTTCCATGGCGAAAATGTGACATAAATGTCATGAAACAGTAAAAGATAATTTCTATTTCATCCTTATTTTAGACCTTTCATAGGTTTAATTCCCTTAATTACACATTTTGTTTGCTACACACTTGCTAAATTATAAGGATGTTGATTGTAAAGCTGTTTGTTTGAGCAAACCAATGACAGTTCTTCTCCTTTTACAGATTTTCTGGATTTGTCAAAATATTTGATGGATTACAGTGCTGGCTATCAGAAGCAAGTTGATTCATATCTTGATCCAGACAAGTAGGTAGACATCCAACTGAACTGTAGAATGTCTAATGACACACTTCATATGAACACTGACCAACTCGAGAGCAAAGTTTTTCTGCCCCACAGAGGGAAGGAGTTACTCTTCTCTCCCGACACTCATTACCTCTTGGTGTCACCTGACTCCAGCTGTAGTATTTCTTACCAAGGTGAAATACAAGCCAGCAGCTCCCCTAACATCAACATGGAGCGCTGCTTTAATGAAAGTTCCACTGTGGGCAACATTGAAAACGCAGCCTTAGCTCAGGACGATCTCCTGTGTGTCATAACCTCAAACATGGACCAAACCTTTATTGCTACGCCTGTGAATGACAGAATTGGTGTCTGGAGTGAAGGTTTAAACCATCTCAGTAATGGACAGACTGATGGTGAAGAGATGTCTCCAGACTCTGTTGGCAGTGACAGGCAGCTGAGTTCATGTGAGACATCCTGCAGAGGGTCCAGTGAGAACGACTGCTGCTCCCTGAGCTCTGGGGAAATGCTAATAAGGAGTAACAGTTTCTGCTTGGAGGAGCAGTCCCTCATAGTCATTTCCTCCCTGGATGAATCATCCCTCTCTTCAGCTGCAAGTCGCTTATTGGTCCCTGCTGATAATAACCAGCTCTCAACCACACTGCCAGATGCCTGGGAAACGTCCCCAAAAACAGTGACAGAGCAGGACTTGGGCCATCCTTGTCTAGGTGTCACTTTTACCCAGGCAGACAGTTTGGAGTTTCTCTCTGAGGAAAATGATAAAGCACCATCCAATTCTATTGTGGCTCTGCCAAGTGAGCGCGAGGGGGGGCTTTTGATGACCTTTATCTGTGAATCCTCTGCAGATCAAGGGGCCAGTTCCGCCAGGGCTGAAACTGAACCGACTTCTAATCTTTTAGGTCCATTTACCCCAGAACACGGCAAGACCTTCATGTCACCTATTCAAGGAAATGACGAGGACATCCACACTTCCACCCCAGTGCAAAACACAGGGAACAAGATACCCAGTCTCCCCTCTTTGTCCCCATGTGTTGAAAATGTGAGCAACCCTGCAAACCAGCTTGTAAAAAGGCAGCAAATCTCTCTAAGGCCTAAACAGCATGCAGCTGCAGGACTCCCATTCTCACCAAGCAAAATCAAGAAAATAGAAATGGAGAAGAACTCCAAAGTAAACCTTCCTGGTGGTAAAACTAAAGTCCTCATTAAAGCTCCGCATCAAGTGACAGTGCCAGGCCAGGCTCTGGCTTTACTACAGAAACCATTGACTGGGTTCAGTAAACTCAAAGAAATTAACAGGAGAGCAAATGTTAGGATCAGTCCCACCAAAGTAATGAGTAGCTCTACAGGTGCCTCTGCCACATCTAAACTGTTACATGATGCTCATGGACAAGTCAGTACAAGAGCTGCTAAATTAAGTGTAACAAATAAAGAGTCAGGTGGGCGTAATGTTATACATGGACAAGGAAAGACCACAGCATGTCCATCTGACCATCTGTCCACTGCAAGTGGCCACAGATCCGCTGTGCCCAGCACTAACAGCAGTCCTGACACTGTTGGGGCATCGTCTAGCCAGCCATCGGATGCCTCAACGCAGTGTGCTTCATCTTTAGAAAAATCGCCCACTAGGAGCAGTCAAACAGATCCCAAAACAACGGCACAGAAACACGCGTCAGATCAAATTGAGGTCAGGTCAGGCTCAGCTCTTGGTCAGGGCAAGCCTCTCGTGCGCAAAGCACGGCCTCGCTGCTCATCGGAGAGCTCATCGACATCTAGGCCACCCAAGAAGAGAACAACTCTAAGAGTCACAACGAGTTTCAGCGTTCGGAAAGCTGAGGCCAACCAGAGTCTAAGCAAACCAGCCAGTGTGAACTGCCCCACCCAAAATAAACAGGTCGAGAAAACTAGGAGGTCCTCTGACGACTCCCCGAGAGAGGTTAAGAAGATTAGCCTGGTGGTGAGTACATGCTCAAACCTAAATGGCAACAAATGATGTTAAACACAATTGATATAAAAATACATGTAAAAATTGTGTTCTGTAGCACGATGAATCTAAACATTTGTAAGAGTAGATGGAACAGAAATAAGCATGAGCCACCAGCGAATGCATCAAACTGCTCTGCTTCCAGGCAGAGGCCAACAAATCAACAACAGCTGGAGACTCGTGTGATGAGAAAAACCGTAGTTCTCAAAGTCGATCATCCCCCAAACAAAGAAGGGTACCTGCCAGTCCCAGACCCTCTGCTCTCTCAGCCCGGCAGAGAGAGTTCACCCTGGGGAGGGTTGACAGCAGGATATCCAGAACAACGGGGACACCTCGATTCCAAAGAAGCAATGCAGGTAGGCTCTTAAACTATGAGTCAGTTTAATTGGAGACATAATGGTCTGTGTAAGGTCACAGTCTGCTTAAGTTTAATGACTTGCCTTTGACATGAGTGATGCCCAATGATTTACCTGCCAAGTAAAAGTGGAGTCAAGAAATGGTTAATCTTTACTCAGTTTGTAGTGGAAAAGAGCTCAGCAGATAACAGACTTTGTACTTGAACTGTTGCGCTGGCAGCAGGAATGAATGGGTGTTTTATAACATTTTGCTGAAACACATTTAAAATTCTTATGAAAAATGTTTTAATGCATTCCCAGTCGCAAAATCAATGTGATCCGTCTCAAACACCTTTAAGTGAGAAGTTTGGCATGTGGTTATATCAGAATTTGTCCATCAGAGGGCAATATCGAGCAGCTTTTGAATCAGGATGCTGTGTTCCTCCTGATGGAACAGGAACAGTGGATACAGATGTCACTTCTGGACTCTTGTCCAAGTCTTTGGCATAAAAAAAAACATTTTCCTCTGTGTCTGAACAACACACTTATGCGATGTGTTGAGAGGAGGGGTGAGATTATTTCTTTTTTGGAAGCCATCTGTGTGGAGTAAAACAACATGAAGGAAAGGGATATTTTCAGTATCACATGAACAAATGTTTGTAGCAAACACACTGATCACAATAACATACTGAAACAATATTGAGTTGTTAGTGCAGTGTTTTATTCAAGTTAATAGCATTTTAAATGATTTTGTAGGGAATGTTGTACTTGTATTTCAAATAGAGGAATCCAACAAAGCATAAATCAGCATTCTGCAAATTTTATTGCAACATTTCTTTTTTAGTTTGACTTTTCATTGATTCTTCCTCTCAACTAGCTCCTTAAATAAGTCCAAACAATTGATTGTATGTGAATCTGTCTTTAAGTCTAATTGAATTATTGCCCTAAACTGCATTCCAGGCAGCCAGAGAGCACAGGATATCCAAGAGTCCCCAGCTGGCATAAAGCCCCAGCTGAATGGATCCTGGCCTCCTAAGACGCCTTCTCGCCCCACTGCTATGGGCCCTCCACCCACCCCTGCTTGGAGACAAGCAGGCAAGTCCCTGGGACCATCCAGAGGTCTAAGTGATAGCAGTGAATCGGGTCCCAGCACCAGGAGCACAGCAGGTGAGCATGTGAATCAACATAGTGTGTACAGATATACAGCATTGTCACCTCTGCACGGAGCTGTCAAATCAGCTTGAAGAATGCTGTTTTCTTTGGTAAGGTTGTAATTTTCATCAGATTTTTCTTTGAGGACACATCTGGATCGGGGGGAGGGGCCGATATTGACACGCTGACCCACTTCAGGCATGTTCTGTGATGTAAATCTTTCCCCACAGCAAACGTTTCTGTGTTCCATTTCGCACTGTCAGCACAGGAAAGGATGTGGTGATTTTCACATTTCTTATTTTTTCATGTGTGCCAAATGGAACCAAAGGCTCTTTAAAATCACTCAAACAAATCCGACTGAATGAGCTTAAACCCCAGTGAGCGCTCCTGGGGCGGCTTGTCTGAGCTCGGAGTGCTTCGAACGAGACCCTGGTGCTGACTGGTGTTTTTTTTTTTTTTTTTTTTCCAAAGCAAAGGAACACTTTCATACAGTGGGCTTCTCTCCCAGAATCAACAGCATACTTGTCTGTTATTGGCTACCGTCGAAGCCGGGGACCCATCCTCAGGTTGTCATGGCAACAGGGTTTGTTCCACTCCAGTTAACATGCAGTGTTGCCCTGAGGAGTAAGAACAGACACACCATAACTGATGGTCGGGGGCAGACAAAAGCATCCATCTCAATGTGTCTTTAAAACCGATGGCTGTCTACACTGGACTTCGCAGCTGCACCTGGACTGAATTACCAGCTCACACTTTTAATACCTCTTCTTTACTAGGATATGAGAGTGTAGCGCCTAACTGTGATCTCACACTGTTGACATGCCTGCTTGTTGGATCTTATCGCTTTTGTATCATCCCATTGTTAGCAGCATGTACTCGGAAAGGTAGAAAGCTTTGGAGAAGTAAGTGCATCTTAAAATTGGCTCAATTCCACTGCCAATTATTATTAATTATTTTATTTCGGAGAACAAAATGATTTGTTTACCATTCTCATTGGATACTTTTGTGATACATGATCATGATGGAATGCAATGGTTTATTTGTTATGTTTAGTCTCATTTCATTGACCTTGTTGCATGTGGAGCTGCCCTCGCTTAACCCCCCAAAAAACTAAACACGCTTTTGTGAGGAGGCAGTGGTGTCCGGAAATGTTTTCAGATGTTCACGGAACACGCATTTGGCTCTTCTCATCCAGCAGTTTCTGGGGGAGCAGCACAAAGGCCAACCCCGCTTAAACAAGTACTGAAGGCCAGGCTAATCTCAACTCCAGGAAAAAACAGTGGAACAAGTAAGATGTATCTTTTTATAGTTATAGCTCTTTATAGTTCTGACCTGATATTTATTTTAATTTTTTTTAAACCCTTTTTTGGAATTACTTTTAACAGATTCAGTCTTGCTCCGATCTTTTCTTGGTCATGCTAAGAATGAGACACATTGATTTTGGATCGTTAATCAAATCGCAACATTGATAAGGCCGTGATCTATTCAGTCTTGGCTACAGATTTAAGCCCTCCAATCCCCCCGGCAGCAAACTAGGCTTTCACCTTCTGATGTTCCAGTTGTGTGGTAATGTCACTTGATGAGGACTTTTTGATCTTGATTTGATTATATTACTTCTATCAGTGTTAAACTTTAACCAATTGAACTTTAACCAAACCCTGAAGGTGCACCCTACATTAAAACCGTCTGGGGTTTTTCAGCGTTCAGTGTTCACTGCTCTTCGTCTGCTTCACCATGGGTCACAATAACTCCATCCTGTTTTCTCCCCTGGGCCCTCTGCTTTTCACAGCTTTGACCCCAGCGTGCAAGCCTGCTGCCTCCACAGGCAAAGGAGCACCGAATTCTACAGTCACTCCTCTGAGGAGGACTACAGTTGCAAGATTTGTGCGGCCAATTTCAAGCGGACTTGGTAAGCTTTATTCCTCTTTTCATTGCGACTCCAAATTATGTCCTAAAGGTGCTGCTTTCATTTGACTGTATAGCTGAGTCAGGAGGTTGTGTTCATACAGTATGAAGGAAATTCAGAATGCAGTGAGACGGTGTAATCTTTACATTTTTCAAATAGAGACCTGATTTTATCTGAAAGGATCTGCATACGTTTTCATGAACAATAGGTGCTTCTGCCAATCTGTAATTAATCGGACGTTGAAAAATAACTGAGTTACTGAGACATGTTAGGCTTTGTTCATCATAGAATGAACCCAAAGCCAAGTCTCTGTTTTATAAGAAGACTAATAGTTTTATTAGTCTTATTGTTGCTACCTCATAATTTTAGATTTCCCGTGTGTCTTCCAGTCTTTTGTGGTTTCATTGCAGCCAGGTACAACTTACACTTTAGCAGATCCAGTGTTGCAAAAATTAAAATGCTTTTGTAAAGGTTTTTTTTTTTAAGGAAATTGTGTTCTGAATTAAATATTTGCTCATAAAAACATTTTCAACCATATTGTTTATATTTTCATTACAAAACGGAGCCTTGGCCCAGGCTAATATCTGTTTCCAACCCTTCTTGGGACACAATGCAAGAAAATGAATGACATAAAAGAGTCGGGGGACTAGATTAAATTCCCATTGGCTGCACTTCTGCAGTTTGCTCCTCCCACACCACCCTACCCCCTCTGCTCTCTCTTTACATCCTGGCTCTGCAAAACACCGCCATCATCAAGCTTGAAGATGCTTCTGGAGAGTGCTCATGTTGTTTGGCAAAAAAACTGAAGCCTGGCTTTGCCAAGAGGATTAAGGGATTTCTGCTTTTCTGCTTTTTTTTGTCCCCCCATCCCCCCCCATCGCATCTATTGGACCATTTCCACAGACCATTGGAAAGCCTTTGCCCTTCTGAATATTATAAATCTCACAGCTGGGATTTGGACTTGTGAGTTAGGAGACCTGCCATGCTAAACTGGGTGCCCTCACTTTTTCCAAGTCTGCCGCCTCGGAGTAACCGACTGCTTTGTACAATTTTATTTCCTTCATTTACCTGTTTTGATTGGAGTTGTGGTCAACTGAAGAACACCACAGCTTGTGGGCTGCAGGCATCATGAGGTCTCTACAATAGGGGACCTTTTTTTTATTAATAGTTTGGACAAAACCTTGTTTTGATAGACATGTTATGGTCTCCAAAGCTCTCCCTGTCAAACATCCACGTGCGTCTGACAGCCAAGGGTTTACTCCGAAACATTCAGCTGCTGTCGGGATGCAGGAAGAACACCGTGGTCTTTCAAGCAGGTCTGTCCTTTATTTCCGTGTGAAATGCTGCTGCTGACCTTCTCAGATCATCCATTCACCGTGATAACACTGCTGCTCTTCCTATGAAAAATAAGTCAGGCTCATAGCCGTTAGGCTTCGTGCAGATTTATGTGTGCTATTTTTAGCATGACTTCTTAATGGATGTCAAAGTGGGAGGTTCATCTTTCATTTATTTACATTGGTCAGCTAAACTTATTAGTCTTTATAGAAGTACTTGTGGACGTGTTTACATATTTTGAATCAATCAAGCAAACAGCAGGTGTGACATGTTGTAAACTGTTTTAAGCATCATTATGAAATTATTTTTTGGAAATTGGGACATCCAGTGATCCTGTTTCACTCAAATGCATAGGGTTATGCTAAATGAATCCATGGGAAGCTTTATTTTTTTCTTTTCTTTGTGGCTGGTAAGCAATATTGAGGGAATAATTGTCCTTTCCTGCAGTTCCCACAAGAGAAAGATATCATTATGCACTCTTCAAAGGATTAAATAACATTTGCCATTTATTAAAAAATAATAATAATAATATCAACAAATGTTTTGAAATGTTGAAAACACAGATTGCCTGTGTGACTGATATGTTTTCATGATGCTCCATGAATCAGTCCGTGAAAATCTTAACTGGGTTTATTTATTTAAGCTCTTTAAGACAGATTCACTCAGTCATTCTCATTGTACACATTTTCTGTATGTAAATGTTGCAACTAAAGGCCATAACAAGTGTCTGATTGTAAGAAGGCTCCTCACCAATCGTGCTTTGTGCTATGATGTGATATCTCCAGAGAGGAAAAAGAGCACAATGCTGACGAGTCTCTAAATCACTCAGCATTCAGTGCTATGTGAAAAGGCTGGAGTTGTGTAAAATAATTCTGAGTGTGGGAAGATGTCTGAAAGGAAGGAGCGCAACATGTGTCATCCCTCCCATATTTGAACCCTTTGATGAAAATAGCTGTAGGTCCTCTGTTGCCATGGAGAAGTCCGGAGAGGAAGGGTTGGTATGGCGTTATATAAAGTCATTTCATTTGGAAATTGCAGATTTGAGTGAATTGAACAAAGAGGCCACAATTGGTCAAACACAGGATGATTAATGTTAAGTATACCAATCCCCAGAGCATATGTTTGCCAGTATGCAAATTATCTGTTTGGACTACATTTTTTTATGACACCAGGTTGCCATTGGAAGCATCAGCTAAGAAATGATTACAGAATAATGTTGTATACACAAACTGTTTCCATTTAGTTGGATTCAATACTATAATCTGTGACTAAGAACCACCATATCCATTTCAAACTGCCAGCCTCTTAAAATTACTTCTGAATTATTTAAATGGATGACAATATTAATATTTCATATTTAGCAATGTTTCAAGGAAGGTCCAGTCGTTGGACTGGAGACATACCAAACCGCTTTCTCTCCATAGGAACATTTGAAAAGCAAAACATTACTTGGATATGTATCTTGTTTTGCATACATTTTGCTGCAAGGTTAAGGAAATGATAGTTACCGGTAGTTTTGCTTATATTTGTTTAAATAAAATATATAATTGATTTATTACTGAGAAAAATGGTGGGAATATTACATTCTTAACCATCATTAAAAAGGTATCCGTTGTGGGACCACAATAAGATAAGTATCATGTGATTTTGACTGAGGAGAGGCATGTTAATTTGTTTACTGGCATATTTGTGCTAAATGTTGCTGCCCCTTGAATAACCAGCAGAGGGCGCAATAAGTTAAAATTATATATACTTTAGCTTTGCTTAACTGCGACATTGTCAAAATGATTGAAAACAATATGTGTCTGGTCAGGTACTTGGAGCGGTGCTATATGTAGAACTAGATAGTTATGTGGCTTGTTTTTATACAAACAAGCTATTTAACTAACCACAACAATATTGTACAGTAAAACACTTAGAGCAGATTGTGCAATATGATATTTTTTTTTTTTTCTGTTTAGTTTTTAGTTTTATTTCTGGGTTTTATAACTTGGGTAATGTAAAGCTTTATCTTTAGTTTTTATGTAATGATGTTCTTTTATTACTGGAAAATTGGTTTTAAAAGCAAAAGATAACTGTCAAAAATAGTGATTACTGTGTAATTTATATAAGAAAAGCACCTGAGAGAGCAAATGCTGTCCCATATTTAGAGCTCGGCATAAATAAACCTTATACTTAGATTATAAGCAAATTGTCAAAACATTTTTAAATGTACTCCTAGATAGTTCTAAATCGAGTTCAGCCAGTTGTGCGACAGTCATACTCCTCTGGTAGTGAATTGCAGAGAGAAACCAGCTTTACGAGGACCTGTATAATGAGTTTAAAGCATGCTCATTATTTGTGTACAACACATTTGACTTTGATTTGCCAACAATCCAGAGTTTTTTTTTTCTCTCCATTTCCATCCTCATTATATTTTTCCCTAATCAAGCCTGTGTTTTCTTGTAAACCGCTCCAGATCCTGATATCAATCCCATGTGTTCCATCAGGTCTTAAAGGGTTAAGAAATTTTATTAATCTTGGCTTAAATCCCTTTATCAAAGAAACTGTACATGGTTTTTACTCCACGATTACTTGCTGTCCTTGGGTTTTACGATGTCCTCTCATGATACTCTACTTAGTGCGTCTAAATTTAGCTTGTCTGTGGTCCAGGTTTTGTGCTTCATGAATGTCATGATGACTAAACACCCTGCAAGCTGTAGTTACTTTCATTTGGTCCATTAGACCTGCTGTGTCAAACGGCAGGCCGATCTAAATGTGTGTTATGGCACAGTAGAATTTGCTCATTAAAGCCAGTATTTCTGTACCGTTTCACTCTTTTTACCAACACTCTTGCATATATTTAACTCTCGACAGTGAAAATTCCTCCTGGAAACGTTCAAATGTGTATCACTTTTTTAATCCCTTGTCTGTTTTTCTCCTCTCCGTTGAATAGTTTGGTGTACTTGGATCAGTAGTTCAGTAGATGTTTCTCTACTTTAAAATGTTATCGCTGTAGCGATATAAACAAAGTGCTCTTCATTAGTGGGATTGAGAGTACCTATCATATGTCACTGATGTATTTATAAAGCTGATGTAAATCAAAACTACAGTAGCACAACCCTGCTAAAATTAGCTGTCCTTGGTAGCTGGTGCCGGCACAGTATTGTATTGGATTAGTGGAAAACTAATTGCATTCGAAGAGCAGCGCTGAAAACCATCAGACTGGCTGATTGCAAAGCAGAAATCTGGGGGGCTTTGATTCTAGGGTTTGTTGCATATGTGAACCTGACAGGACTCGTGTGGGTGGAGGCCATCTGCACTGGCCATGGAGGGGAGCATGCTGATGATCAATGTTGTCACAACACTAAACTCTTGTTCCTTCACAGTGGACAAGAATAAATCCAAGGCCACCTCTCGCCAGCAACCATCCCAGAGCACTGGACCTCAAAATGTGGTACAAGCAAAGGCCGCACAGTGCGAGAGGAAAGACCACGACCCCCAGCAGCTCCAGCAACTGCTGACGGCCAGTAACTGTAGATTTCAGGCACTCACCATCGTGTTGCAGCAGACTTTGGCTGAGGTAAGAAAGGTTTTAGTTCCATTTTTGTTTACTTATAACTTAAAAGGTGTGAGTTTCGCAAATGTTCTAAAAGACAGAAAAATAGTAAATGTTGAAGCTGAATGTAGCATCTGCATGTGGAAAATTAGGGTGGCTTTTTAAGCTTTAAGGGGTTTTTTTGCGTATCTTGGAGATACAGTTGTTCATTTTTTCAATTGGTGTTTAATAACACTTCAATCACAGTGACACTAACATTTTCTTGTCTAAATAAGCTGTCATGTGTATTTAAGGAGGACACCAAGGATAATGCTAAAACTAACAAAAAAACTGCATTCTAACAGCTGTATGATGCAGAAACAAGCTTCAGTAGTTCTCAGTTTTGTATGGAATGGACATTAAACAGTGGGCAAGCCAGTATTTAAGATGAAGACTGGCATTGTTTTTTTTAGAAAAGAAGTAGAAAAGTAGAAAATAATGTTTCAGGGTTGAGAGATCCATATTTATGGAAGAAATTGTACATAAGTTTCTAAATTTGTCATCTTGAAATAGTCATTTTGGATTACAACTGTTGCAACATCAAATCCTGCTTGTTTTTTCAACTGAGACTCAATGGCGTGTCTATTTCCAGAAGCTTAACAGGAGCAAATGTAATGGTGTGAGAGGATGGACAGATGAGTTTGGACATTGACCAATCTGAAACACACTCTTGTCGGAACAAATGTAGCCGCTTGGGATGACAGAGAAATTTCTGTTTGTGACTCTGTCTGTCTGCGACTTTGAGGGAAGATTTGTGGTGTTCACCCTGACTTGATGTTAAGAAGAAAACTGAATGCCTGAGTTTTTTTTTGTATGTGTATCCATTGGCTAAAGTATATCTGCTGGAGTTCTCTGGCCCATGTGGGACAATTTTAGGACGTAAAAAGTTCTGATGTAGATCGACAATATCTTTTCTCTTTTACATATTCTACTTCAATCCCTGTTTAAACAGGGAAAGTATGAAGTCGGATAACTTCAAATCGGAATAATCCATGACTGATCGTAAAGATGTCTTTGCTCCCCACCCCCACCTGCTCAGCTGGTATTTGTACTGCGGTGAAGGCCCAGTAAAAACAAAGGAGTTGGAGCTGGCTGCATCTTTCTCTTTCTTTTCATTTCTTTGTCAGTGAATGAAAAGTAAACGCGGTCATATCAATATCTGGTCATAACTCGTATCTGCAACTGATAAGCATGAGTTTTCTTACCAGTTGCTTTTTGTTTTTTTTCGGCCTCCAAAACTGTATGCCCCAAAGGATAATTCTCTCATAAGTGCTTTACAAACAGGCTTAACAGCTATTCTCCACCCAGCCACAGCTATCAAAGTATGTCATGTAGTCCAATTCTTATGTTATGCTTAAGATCCAGCCTCTCTATAAAGATTTTAAACTGGAGTCAATGATGAAATCAAATTGACACTATGATTAATCTGTTGTGGAAACATTAAGGAACAGGCAATGTTGTCGGATCTGAGTCAATAAAGTCACAGTTTTTTCCTTCTTCTGTGTGATTTATAAGCCAGCGTGTGTTGCATCACACAATTTAACTGGTATCTCCAGTATATCCAGTTAGCAGTCATCACTTTTTGCGTGACGTTAATTGTTTGTTGTAGCACCTAATAGTTTTTCTTTGTTTTTTTCTTTTTGTTAAATAGTTTTCCCTTCAGTTGCTTGAGGCCCGATTCTGCCTCAGGTTACTCTGAGCATTGTACGATCTATGGAAAGTTTGTTGCCTTTCAGAGCAAAGAAAATTTGAGGCGGAGCGGAACATGCTGTTTTTCAACAGAGAACTGTGACAGAGAATTCAGCCATTCCTCTCACAGCTGTAAAGGATTCACCTTTGTGTTTTACTTCCCTGTCCTCCTCCACTACCCCCTGCAGTTTTACCCCAGATGGATCTTTTCCAGCACTCTACACTCAGGGGTCATATTATTCTAGTTCAAGTCCAACAAACCTCTGTCTTTAGAAGCTACTTGAGTTGTACAGACAAGAAAAGTTCCAACATTGCCTCATAACTCATGTTTTGTTGTGATGTGTCAGCTACAGTTAAGAGGTAAAGTTAAACCGTAAAATAAAGAAACGTGAATTGGGGACTTTTTGGTCCTCTTTTGATCTGATAGAGTTTCTATCGTCTCTGAAAACGTCACTCTATGATTCTATGCTGTGGAAAACCTCCATGTTCAGAGCAACTGTTGTAACTTTCGGCACTTTCACTAAGTTCTGATGCCATGAGTCACTACAATGTTCCTGCATACAGACACTTTCTGCTGGAAACTTGACCAGACATCTATTGAGTAGATCAAATCCACCTGTCAAGTTAATGTCACCATTTTTTTATATAGTGGAAAAAAGTCTTTGCAATGTACCAAATCTGTTATTTTATTTCCAACTTCACAACACATTTTATTTATTCATTTTCAGGTTCATAAGGCAAATATGAGCTTTTCTATGCAGTCTTGGATTTTCTTTAGGACTCTACATGCTGGATGATGCTTTGTACTGTGGCAGCTGGTATCAACGGCTCATGTGTGATCTTTAGTCACTGACGTTTGACTCACATCCATCTGTTTGGACAACAGGGTTGTGAAACGGCGCACGTCACCAAATATTGAAAACACACTTGTTCGTCTGGCAGAAAAGCAGCTGTTACAGCCTCCTCCCTCTTACTCAACTCTAACTATTACATGTGCTGCTTTATATTTAACCCCTCGACTGCTGGTGGCTCATCTTGATGACAATAGCCGCCAAAATGGAGGCACAGTTACATAAGCTGCGATCAATCTCAGAATAGTCGTTTCTCCCTCAGGACTGACAGTGTTGAGTAGCATTCGTTTTAATCATGGTTCACTTTCATGTAGCATTGCATGGAATGTGGTGACCACTCATACCAAGAATAGGAGGCTGGACCTTGCCATCATAGTGTGAGAATGGCCCAGCTGTTGACTTGATATGGTTATGAGCAGCAGCCAAAAGCTAAGCAGGGGCCGCATGCTGTTCCTTATCAGCTGTTGGATGGAGTGTGTGAGCACCAGCCTTCCTTCTCCCAAAGAGGAAACTATTTGATGTAAAGGTTTCCTTTTTAATCTAGGGATGCAACCACATTGGAATGTTTTTTTTTTTTTTCATTTAATTTGCTCAAGCTGGGCACGGTTGTTTCAAACAGTGTTTCAGCAGAATTGGCCCTTGACCCCAGACCTAAAAAAAGTTTTGGATATCGGTCTGTCCCCATGTTATAACCAATAGCTTGCCTCCTCCTTTAACCTTAGAATCTCTCTCACACCTGATATCAAATTGAAATACAAAGAACAGGCACAACATCATGCAGCAGTTTGCAGTTCTAATAGTCAGGTTATTCAACAATATTTAGACTGGAAGTCTTTGCTGTTAGAAGTAGAAATAAAGAAAACATCATTAAAAACCTGTTTAAATTGAAGTGTCTAGATGATGGAAATAACTTCACTGAGTTACTTTTTACCTTTTTTTTTTTTTAAAGAAATGATTTTCATTGTTGGCTGACTGTAAATACTCAGAGGAGATTGAAATTTGATCTGTCGGAGCATGACGTTGTAATGGAGAGAGCGATAGATTGTACTGTGGTGGCTCAGAGGGCTGAGGGGATGATTTAATGTGGGTGAGTATGAGCAGTGGGGGGATGGGACCATTTAAGCCTCTGGGTGGGTCACTGCACAGCACAAGTCCTCCTCCATCAGCTCTGTGAAATATATGGGCTTGCTCCACTCTGGCTGCCTTTGTGCCTTCTTAAAGTGGCCTCTCCTGCTGTTGTAATACAGAGTGTAGCCTGCCCCCTTTTTTTTCTTTAGTTTTTTTTTTACATGCAGTACGGTAATGCACTCTGCGGTCGCTCCCCACAGCCAGTAAAGCGGCTTTTTCAGTCCTGCCTCTGATGTAGTCAGAGCAGACCGCGAGGAGGTGCGTGTGGAAGTGGTGCGCCCACATGGACCTCTGCTTGTCCTGGAGCTGCGGGTCTCCATAGCTCCTGGAGGGGACTCCGGCTCCCGAGGCTGATGCTGGACCATGGGCTGTTCTGGCAGCAGAGCATGCCTCAGTGCTCCCTGCGCTGCAGAGAGGGTAACTGACTCCCACATTGTCCCACTCTGCAGTAAGGAATATTTCCAGGACAGGGAGGAAACCTTTTACTAATGTAAACGGATGACTCAGAGGATGTTTGTCTTGACCCGTGAGCACGTTTTCCTTTTTTTTCTGCATCATTTCATTAGGTTTTGGTTCTGTTGCGCAGGCTGTGTAATGTTGTGAGTGTAAGGCGGTGGATGTGAAGCAGCATAGACAGGAGTCAGGTGGGTGACAAAACAGTTTTTTGGATTGTGTTTGCATCAGTTTGGAGTGTTTCACTGCAGCAAACCTCCAACTGCAAAACTCAGTCAGAAAGAATAAGGAAATTAGGCTGACATCAGACACGAAAGGAAGTGAAATCAGGAGCTGATTCTGCTTTTCCTTCGCCCCTCTAATGATTATCTCATTACTTTCTCTACATTCTCCTTTTTAAGGGGTTCTCAGGCAGCCGTCAGGTGTCACTGAGGTTTTATGTGGAAATGTGTCATCGTAGCTTTGCTTGCACTGCTAATTTGTATTTTTAATGTTGCGCTTGTTTATCTGTTAAACTATTTCTGTCTGCAGCGCGATGAAGCCAAAAAGCAGAGCAGGGAGCTGTCCCAGGAGCTGCTCAACCTGCGAGGAGAGCTGGGTAAGTCGGCTCACCTTGGTCTCTATTTGCTGCTGACACCAGTCTGTTTTGGTTTTGGTCTGGATCACGATGCGAATTCAGGACATTAACTAAATCAGCTCGTGCTGTTTGTTTTAAAAGATTGCACTCTTCTTATTAACTGCAGTAAATCAGATGTTGACTTTTTGTCTAGTCGTGTCAAAGCCCCCCCCCCCCCCCCGTTTGTTACTTTTACCAGTGATTAGTAGAACGGTGTTAGTACATTCCCCTGGGCCGTTCCAGTCCAACCTCTGACCCAGCATGTTAGCAGTTCCCACTGTTGGAATGTTTAAAGTCCAGTCTAAGTGCTGCCACACTGAATGCTCCTGGACATTCATCCGCTCTCCAGCACATGTTCACACAAGCCTCCATCACTTCCTCTTAAAGCAGCTGTAGTTTTACGGCTCCTCCCCTCTGTCGCAGCCTCGGGACTCCCACATGACTGCTCTTATCGTCTGAGTACTGTTATATTTACTCTCAAGCGCATTCTTGTCCGTGGGGGCGACCGTAAGATCCAAGCTGGCCTCAGACTGACTTTTTTTGTATCATGTGTAGTAACATTTCTGTTGTCTGGATGTGGTGTTGATATATTTTCCCTCATGTCTTTTATATCACATCATCCCTGAACATTCTATACCAAAGCGTACCTCTTTAATTTAAATATCAGTATATCACATAACCACAGTTTCATCGGGTCATCTTTCTGTCTAAATCATCAAAACTGTTTCTGGGCTGGCGGGGCACATCAGGTTTTGTACTGCACACGCCAAAGCCTGATAGACACTTCCTATTTTAACTTGGCCTGTGTTTGTGGACTTGCTGCCATTATTCCACTCCGGTGAGGTGAATCTTTGAGCCCACCTCCATTTTATTTCCTTCCCTCCTTCCCTTTCTCCTCTCCCTAAAGAAATGGGCCGAGCTCCTTTTGTGTGTCTTCACAGTGATGAATGTGAAAATGTACCTGCTTCAAATATTGAGCAACAGACCTGCCGCATCTGGATATGATAGTATCCACAGCCATTACTGAAGGTTTTCTTACTTTCAAGTTTTAATGGACTGGTTTATTGTAAAATCATGTTTGTGAGTTGGAAATTAACAACAGTTCATTAGTTACATCCCCCTTGGTACTTATATCAGTGGAAAAGCTGAGACTGGTTTCCATATCTTAATGTGCCTATAAATAACTGTGCTGTACATAGAAATGGGCACCCCAGTTAAAGTCAGTTTTTCCATTCCTTTCTGGAGACCCTTTGATGTGGAACGTTAACATCACCAAAAGCTTTATGAAGTTGACATAAAGAGTAGTAATCGATGTAACTGTCCTCTGATATTTGCCTTCTCTTGCTCTCCACAGTGTCCTCCGCCCACTCATCCGAGCGCCTGGAGAAGGAGAAGAAGGAGTTGCGTGCTGCGCTGGACGAAGCCCTTCAGAGGCTGCAGGAAGAGCACCAAAAGGAGCAGACTGAGCTGGAGCAGAGGCTGCAGGCCTTCTACCAGGATGAGTGGGAGAAAGTTCGCCTCACCTATCAGGAGGAGGCCAACAAGTGCAAGACTCTCATACAACAGCAGGTTAGATCAGACATTAGAGTGGAAATATCTAAAGCCGCAAAGCATGAGACAAGGTTCAAGATTTGTTCCAACCCTACAGATTAAATTGACTTCCCTTTCTTTTAGTTTTTTCAAATGAATTATTTATGTGAGAAGAGTTGGAGATTCATCATTTTTCCTTCCACGTGACTGATCTGTAGTGTGTTATGCGATGACGTCTTTTCCTTTGGAAAATAAACTCTAATTTTCTGGCTTTTAAGATGGAAGACCTGAAAGCCAATCATGAAGTAATGAAGCTGGAATTACAGAGCAGCCACTCACAGCAGCTGCAAAGAGTTCAACAACAGTACGAGAGAAAACTGGAAGGTGAGTGACCAGGACTGGACTAAACTTTTCACATGCACTTTGCGTTGATTCGGATTTGAAAATGCATGAAACGGTATCATGATTTAAAAATGGCATCAGCTTTGACCTGTGAACTTTTCAGAGCTGAGGGAAGTCCACAAACAAGAGCTGCAGTCTCTGGACAAAACCTTGAAAGATGCTGAAGCAGCTCTGTCAGTAAGTCGTTTAGCTATTTTCTTTCTTTTTTTCCTTTTTTTTTTTTTAGAAACATCCCCCAAAAGAGCATTTAATGGCAAATTGCCCTGTGGTTTGATGAACCAGTGTGGAAGATTTTGCTGTGTGCATCCACAGGGAAAAATACAAAATCTGACGATGGAGAATAATGCCCTCATTGAGAAGCTGGCTGCTGAAGAGCGCAGGAGGAAGCTGTCCGAAAATAGCCAGGTACTTATTGTGTGCTTATTTTTTAAGGAGTTACACTTGAGAAAAATCGCATGACTCTGGTGCAGTGTACCCCTGAGCTTTTAAAGGTGGAAAAACCATCAAACCGGAAAGATGAATGGTCAGAGGGAGAAAAAGTAAATACTTTGGAGCAGTTAATGCCCTAAAACCCATACGTTTTTTTTCATTTTTTTTGTAATTTAATAATTATTATATAAACCTATATTTTATACACATGTGTTAAATGTATATTTGAAATGCCACTACATTTGTGGACTTCAGATTTATGAAAAATGCTGTTGTGTGACAGCAGTTTCTCCTCAGCAGTGTTACCTAACATAAAAGTCCTTAAAGTACCCACCACACATTCCCCTGCTACTCCATGTGTTTCATAGACCGATAAAAAGCAACAGAATGTGCGGTCAGACTCAAAGGGGACCACGTGTCATGTGCATGTCTGTAGAGGCCGATGGCGCCCTCTGTTGTGTGCTTGTGGTTAATAATGGCTCCTTCTCTGCCTCCACAGAAGGACAGTCACACACTGTATCTGGAGCAGGAGTTGGAGAGCCTGAAAGTGGTGCTGGAGATCAAAAACGACCAGCTCCACCAGCAGGAGAAGAAGCTGATGGAGATCAACAAACTGGTGAGGAAGGTTTGATGGAGGACATGGTGGTTGTGATTCAGAGGAGAAAAAAAAAGACTTGAGTCACTAAGATGCCCTTTTGTAAAACAGACGGAGAAAAACGTGAAGCTGGATGAGAGCCTTAAAAAGGTCCAGCAGGAGAATGAAGACCTGAAAGCCCGCATGGAAAGACACGCCGCACTGTCGAGGTATGAGGCCAGTAAGCCCACACTACCTTTACAGAGATGAACTTGTGGAGGAATAATGGAAGTGTGTGGGCAGAAAGATTTGGCTGGATAACTGTAGTTCCACTAATCTGTTCACTATGGAGCCACCGCATTGGACTAGGTGGCATTGTCTCTTAGTAACATTGGACCATATATACCAGGTATCCTGTTATATGGAGGTCTCCTCCCTCTCTTTCTGCCCTGTGACTGAGTGCTGCACTGAGAAGCATTATCCCCTGAAATTACTCGGCTGTTTTTCCATTAGTTCATTTGACTGCTTTTTAAAGATTCATTTTTGTTTCTACTCATTAAACCGGTATAATTTTGAACTTGAGTAACTTTATCATTTTGTTAAGTGAATCTAATTGTCACTTTGTAGTGACTGTTTTCCTTGTTGGGAACATCGGTTATCCAGGTTGATTCTAACTCATCTGTTGTGTTAATGCACCACAGACAGCTGTCCACCGAGCAGGCAATGCTGCAGGAGTCCCTTCAAAAGGAGTCCAAAGTCAACAAACGTTTGTCCATGGAGAACGAGGAACTGCTCTGGAAGCTCCATAACGGAGACTTAAATAGCCCCCGCAAGCTGTCCCCCACCTCCACCTCCCCTTCCCATTCCTTCAGCCTCCACTCGCCTCGCAGCTCCGACCTCTTCTCCAGCCCTCCTGTCTCCCCCAGATAACAACGGGCCCCTGCTTCCAAGAAGCACAGCCTCATGTTGTATCATCCCTCTGGAATGAGAGCCATGTTTGTTTCTGGTTCCGAGCAGAACTATTTGAATTTGGCTCCCGCGGGATCGGAAAAACTCTGGACACTTGTTGTAAAAAAACGCTTCATACTGTTTAAAAGAGTGAGAAAGGAAAAACTTTGCACAGAAGCACTTCACAGGAAGACCGCCGTTCTTTGCCTTTGACATCAGATGAAGCAGAAGGGGAGGAAATCTCAGGACTTCTTTGTCATCAAACATCATTTTTGTTTATTTGTATGTGACGGAGGCTTGTCTCTTGAAGCTCCACACATGCGCACACAGTGCATGCTCGTGCACTCATGCAGATTTAGCTTTGCATTGTGTTCCAGGAGACCACAGCCATTGAAAGTCTGACACCATTTTAGTTCAGGGTGTATATAAATATCTGAGGAATCTGGGATTTTTGCACCATTTCTTACATGTTCAGAATATTCATGAGGTTGGTTTATTTTAAAGGGTGTTGTTTTATGTCTGGATTTCCAGGTCAGAGGTCATGTATATGGCCCCTTGATATTTCTGCTTTGATGTTTATTTGTTTGACCAAGGGACCAGTCCTGCTCTTTGTCCATATGTGTGAGTTTTTTCAGTCACCTCTTCCTGAAGCCTCCTGAAGCAGCTTTAAAGTCAGGGTCTTTGCAGAGAGTTTACAAGAAGCAGCTTCGCTTGTTCACGTCAGAGACACTGCAGTTTTGAAACGTCTGAGTATTTTGTGTGGAATTGATATTATTGTGATGACCCTGTTTGAAATATGCAATTAATAAAGTCTGTATTAAGCCGGATGTTGGGATGGTCTGAAAATCAAATATTTAATGTTGTTTGTTCATTAAGGAAGTTAATTGAGCTGAGTCAGCACACCACCACTGAGTGTGTTGTGCTTCGATCGGTTTTTTAAGTTGGGCTTTTTCCTTTCTTTTTTTCTGAAAAAATCTCATTAAAAACACCATCGAACTGTTAAGCAAACCTGAGGGTGAACCAAAATAAGATCAGGGCCTGCTGATCACATTCCACATATGGAGCGCATTAGTTTAAAGCTCAGCCATAAACCAGATTCCAGCAAATACTGCAGAAAGGCAAACGTGTGCCTAGGTATGCACCTCAACAGAGCCAGGAATGTACAGCTGACTGCTGCGGAGGGCACAGACTGGGGGGAAAAGTTAAGTTGCTTTGCACTTTTCCACAACGGCAAATAATGAATTTTTGACACGAAGCACAAAATGGATTAAAAATAAGAAATCTGAGCAAAACTGTCCAGCACCATTTACACATTAGGAGAGTTTCAAATTGAAAGTTTTTGTAGCATCTGTTTTTAACCCAGCCCCCTCACATGAACCAGCTGTTTCAGTATTTGATTGTCTAATTGTGAAGCTGTGGCAGATGGACACACTTTTCCTCCTCTGAGCTGTAGATGCTTTGTGGGTTCAGACTGTGTTCCTTCAGACCTGTGTTTTTTTTCACTCAGCATTTTTACATTGGAAATCCCTCCAGATTTGCTCCTTTAACTCTAACAACTTATAATTTAGTGACTGCGTCATGTTTTTTTTATAACAAAGTGAATATTTCAACAGAGTATTTAAAGAATCTTTATTGTTTTCAAGCTGCGGTCAGATATGCAAAATATAAATGTTCTTGAATGGATTTTTTTTGCCTGTTCTTGCTACTGTTCAACAGCAAATCAAAAACTATCATCAAGTAGAAGCATGTCATCGGGGCTAGCTGGCAGTGATACGAGTTGTGACTATTGTCTCGCCGTGCTGATTTTTGGCCGTACATACGTAGTTTCCAAAGTCGATGGTCTCCAAGTCTACCAGAGTTAGGACGCTCTTTGAGACCCGTGTGGTGTGGCCCATGCCTCTGTTAACTAGCCTCCAGGAAGACTGGATGTGAACGGGACGTTGATCCTGCACATATAAAAAAAGAAAACCTTTTCAGTTGTTATAAAAGGCAAAGCACGATATCATAGTTTGATGGATGGTGTACTTTGTTTTCCAATTTTATGGGATAAGTTGAGTGGGAAGAGAGTGATTCTTTAACTAACTCAGATCTTAGGCAGCAGAAGACAGTCTGGAGTTTCCTCTCAGTCTCTGCTGATAACTAAGGGTCATTTGAAGGCTGACTGCCTCCAAACCTGCAAAACTAAACAGCTAAAGCACTGCTCTGCTAAATGAAACACCCTGTTTAAACACGGCACTGAGCTAAATGAATAGCTAAATTGCAGGGTCAGGGAATGAACTGCCGGCCACATCGTTTATGAGCCACATATCGGTCTCCATCTATCAAAGCCAAGCTTACCTGACCAGGATAAGTCCAGGTGAAGCTCACGTCCACCTCTGGTTCTCCCAGCACACAGCATGTTACATTGACGTCATCACCTCCTCTCACAGACTCTGGAGAGGCCTCAAGACTCACAAAGGGTGGCCCACTTGGGACTGTCAACACACGCACACATATATATATTTTTAAAGTTAGCCTCAAATGGCCTCTGCCTAGTCCATCACATTAAATTTGGTTTACCACTCACTTGGCTGACACAAGCTTGTCAAAAATTGCAGTGCTTGCATAAACGTGTACCATTTCTAGATGAAAACTGCAGTCGGTCAAATCCATCTGCCAGTCAAGCATGCCACTGCAGCTTAACTTTACACAGACAGACACAAATTTTCCTTTTTATTTATTTATTTTAAATCCGTCTCACATTCCCTCTCTCTCCCTGCAAAATTGCAAAATCCAGCTGGTGTGCTCATTTCACCTGGCAAGCGTCCACATGAACCACGCTCAGCAGCGAGGATTTTGCCATTTTTTAAGATGCGAACCGTTCCCGTGAGCTGATAAAGTAACTAGCACTTGATTTATGACTCTCAGAGCTGCCTCTTACAGTGTGTTTTGGCACTCTCGGTCGGCAAGAAGGTAAAACAAATGGTTAATGTTGACAGTTATGGGGCAGAAGAAAATAGTTTGCATTCCTGCACAAAAGTACTAAATTTATGATCATACTCACCTTCCACGTAAAGGAGCTGGTACTTGGTTGAGATCTGCGGGGTGCCTTTGAACACGGCCTTGCAGTAGAAGACGCCCTGATGTTCAGGGCTGGGCTGTTGCAGTACGAATCCCCTGGTGGGGTCATAGGTCACGAGAGTCCCGTTTGCGGCTATTTCCTCGGGGGGGACCTCTCTGTGCAGGGTGACTTTGGCCCGCGGCTCGGTCACGCGACAGGGCACGACTGCGGGCTTGTCCGGGCGCAAGTACACGATCTCGAAGTGGATGGCAGACGGGACGAAAAGATTGTCTCTGTCTGATTGAAAGAGGGACGCGTGGCCACGGTTTAATTGGTGAACTTTCAGGGACAAAATGAGCGCACTTAAAATCAAACCTAAAAGCCTTGCCGGGAGTAGATTTCTAATGATGTCTGTGCAGATGTGCGACTGCGTAGCTGGCAAACTACTGGCTAAAACCCACAAATGGAAGTTTAATTCCAGCTGATAGTGAGAGGTGTGACTGAAGGAGATCTCTCAGCACATGTCAAACTATCAAAACGTACAGATATTCATGACAGTTGCTTTCATTCAATGCTTTGCGCGCGGCAAAAATAAGCGGAAGATTGTGTTCAGTCTTACTTTACAATCTCTCCTATTTTTTGCTGATAAACAAATAACATTCTGACAAACAATTCTAACATTCATTTCAGACTTATTCTTTTTGACAGGCCAGGCCTTTGAACCGGCCTTGTTGCGTGAATTATGTTGTGATTTGAAAGTTAGCACGATACACATGTGGCATCTGGCTTCCAGCTGTCACTCCCTTGGTTTTTATTTTCTGCAGTACCACTGTTTAAATGGCTGAAGGAGGAGAGGGCTCATCGGCAAAGACTCTTCTTTGTTACAAAAAAGTAGCAGTGCCATATCAGCCCGGTCACTGGCTCAGCCAAGCACGTTATTGGCAATATGATACGATAATATCCCAAAAAATGTAAAAATCATCACATTTATTGGTCAAAAAACAGAATCTGTGGTGTGGAAAGAGCTTTAGTGTGTGCTACCATCCTGTTATCATTAAAGTTGTAAGGACAATAAAGTACAAACTTCTTGTTGGAGGTGTGAATGAATTTTAAATATCACAATTGTTTGGCTTGTACTGGTGTACTTTACATGACGTTAAGGTATTGTGATTTGGGGGCATATGTGTGTGATGGCATGACTCTTTGAGTGCCAAAAAGGCTAAATGAAATTTGCAATGATGTGTAAGAGTGAATCTTATGTTTGTGATTTTATTGTTAGTGTTATTGTTTGATGAGGATATGGTCCAGTGATTGCAGTCATTTCTGATCTATTCAAATGTTCAAATGTATCATGTAATGTGTTTCTCACGTCATTTAATTGGTTTTGGTTTTATTTTATTTTAAATATAAAGTCTCATAATCTGGCAACCTAAAGTGGCCATCTTTTAAAACATTCAGTGACCCATCAACTAACGACAACCACACCTGTGAAGTAGATGTATGAGAGGAAAGTGCGGTCGTGGTCCTTCTGGCACTCTGTTCCATCACACACTATCACCCAGCAGCTGTAGGGCCCCGTGTCTGCGGCAGACGGCGACGTCAGGACCAGCTGACTGTACTTGTCGCTTTGCTTGATGCTGCGGGTGAAAAAACAAAAACAAATGATCAGACCCTCCTCGCAATGCACCACCTGTCTGAGTCCTTTGGGCAGATGTTGCCCCTTCGGAGCACCTGAGCCGCGAGTCGTTGAAAGTGTCCAGGTAGGTCGGGTAGGACCACCCGATGCTGTTTCCTTTGCAGCGCAGCTCCAGGTTCTTGCCGGGGCTCAGACCGGTGCTCGGGCCCAGGCGCAGGAAGCGGCCTTTGTCCAACACCTGCGTCAGCAGGGACTGGCCTTTTCCCTTCCTGTCGTTCGGATTGGGCTGCCGAACCCTCACCCGCTTCCCGTCCGAGCGGTTTCGACCGTCCTCCACGTGTTTTCTTCGCTTGACCGCTTGGCAGGCACCTGCACACGAACAGGCACAGAGAAGGGAGGGAGGGAGGGAGAGCAGCCCAGCTGTGACAACAGTTAAACAGGAAATCTTGGCATGAAAATGTCCACGATCCAACCTCCCCTGCTCTTTTTCCCCTCAGTGGGCACAGACTGCAAAACTAATCAGTGTACAGTGTTGCTTCGCATGATTTGTTCTTTCACTTATCAGCGCAATACGAATAAGAACTCAGAGAAAAAGGTCAGAGCAGTGGAGACCAGGTAATTAGAAACGCATGCTGCATTCCTTCACATCCAGCTGGTTTGAGTAGTTCTGCAGAAATGCTTTGGGAAAGACTTACACAAGCAAGCTTCGAAACACGTGAAAGGTAACCAGAAATATAGCAGAATTCATATAAACACACTATTAAAACTTTCAGTTTGAGAATGAGGGTTGCTTTGTTGCTCTTTGCGCCTCCCTTTCTACGCCCATCGCCCGATGGCTCCCCTCCAAACCAGTGTATATGCAGCCTCGCGTTATCGAATCCAACGCCTACCTTCCAGCTCACAGCTCAACGAGGCCTGATGGCATTAACAGCGACGCCGCTTCCCTCGCAAATCCAGATGTGAAAACGGCAGCCCTACTCACCGTGCTGGAGCTCTACGCAGAGCAGCACCAGGCAAAGACCCACCCAGAGCTTCATGGTAAGAAAGGTGTCAAAACGGCAGGGCTGCCCAACTGAAGGAGATCTTAGAAGTTCAGAAGAAAAGGAGTTAAAAAAAGGGAGCTTCTCTGGACCCGCACAGGCTCCAGATGCCCTCGTTAGATTTCCAACTCCATCCTCCTCACAGAGCGGAATGGAGATGGAAAATAACTTTAGAGCTCTTGGGTTTCCTCCCTCTCCTCAGGCTCCTAAAGGGGAAAAGTGGGTTTAGAAGCCCTCTGCTGGACCTGAGGACGAATGATTATTTTTCTCTCTTTTTTCTTTTAAATTATGCACTCACATTTTGTGCACTCAAAACAAAGACTAAATGCATTTAAAAAATGGATGCGATAAAGTGATTTTTTATTATTACTCTGTAGACGCACGCCCTCAGAGTTTTGCAGCCATTTGAACAATAATTTGCAACCATGTGAAATCAATTAAAAAAACTCATAATTCTGGTTATAATTTACTAAATAAACAGTATGAAGACACACAGAGGACCCCAGAGCGTCCATGGAAACCATATACAATGAGAAAAAGGGGTTTTTTCTGATGGATTCCTTTTGAAACTGATTTATCTTTGCCACAAATAGCTCAGCAGGCTGGAAGACCCTGAAGCTGGTGCTTAGAGCAGATGTACACCGAAACATTCTCCATATGTTCTGCCATCTCACCAATACACATCACACACATTTCAGTGATGATTTACAGGGGAAATTTCTGCTTTAGGAATGTGTAAGTGTAACCCTTCATCATTTGAAAATGTTCTACTAATGGATATTATTTGTGCGTAAATGTGTGGGTTTGTCATCACTGTTCAGATCTCAACACAAAAATCAAGCTAATTATATTGACTTTTTTTTAGCTAATTGGCTCTCCCTTCTGTTTTATGAGAAGAAAGCCTGAACTTGTGAGCCGAAAGGCCACGGAACTCATTGGAATATGTTGTTAGAATTGGGCTATAGTTACTCAATTTAGCATTGTATGCTATCACATAATCCATGTAAATGATTGATTGTCTTATTCCTTTAAGAAGTATACTATTGTGTTAAACTCTCTGGGTGTGCCCACAGATTCTCCTCTCTCTGTTTCAGTAGATATACGTCTTTAAGGTCAACATCCACACACACACTTTCTTATCACATTGCAATGAAATCTGCATGAATCAGGAGCTGGCCTGTTCAAGTCAGAGCTAACTGGCCAATGAAACTTGGTTGCATCCAGTTTTCCCACTGTACGGGGAAGGCCCAGCCCAGGAGATAAATGTCCATCACACCTGGATTTTGGGGCTCTTTCTGATTGAAATCCTCCGGGAGCTTTGTTTGTGAGAGTCCAGAGCTGATTTACTTTGCTTGTGACCAATAAATGTCATATTTGTACTGTTGATTCAATTCAATTCAATTCAATTTTATTTATTATAGCGCCACATCACAACAACAGTTGTCTCACAGCGCTTTCCAAACAGAGCAGGTCAGACCCTACTCTGAAGTTAATTACAGAAACCCAACAATTCCCACCATGAGCAAGCACTAGGCGACACAGGCGAGGAAAAACTTCCTTTTAACAGGCAGAAACCTCGAGCAAAACCATGGCTCAGGGTGATCTACTCTTGTTTATTCTCAGGCTTCCAACTGAAAAATCCATCCATCCATCCATTATCAATACCGCTTATTCCCTGATGGGGTCGCGGGGGGAACTGGAGCCTATCCCAGTGGTCAACGGGCGAGAGGCAGGGTACACCCTGGACAGTCCGCCAGTCCATTGCAGGGCTACACACAGGACATACAAGGACAAACAACCACTCACACTCACATCCACTCCTAAAGGCAATTTCCCCACTAAAGAATTGGGGTAACAATTTTATTGCATCTATATTAATGTGATGAGCCGTTTAATTAGTGTCTGCTCGTAACTATTGTTTGGAGCCCCACGATTTGTGAGCATATGCAAATATAACCAAGTGTACAATAACAGCAGCAAAACAGCAGTAGAGACTCTCATACTGAGCTAAAATCAAACTTTTGCCTGCTTTAAATGTTACGCTATGAATTTCGTTCAATCTGCTTTCTTAAATCAAGAAACGTCTCAAGTTAGTAAGACGTTTCTTTTTCATGTTCGACTGTTATGAGTGGAGCACCTCTCTTCCTCTCCTTCCAACCTGCCACACCGGTGTCTCCAAGTCAGACGAACTGTTTTACAAAACATACGGAGAGTGTGTGGGGTGGGCTGTCATTTTGATTTTGGTAGATTTTTCTCCACTTTATTTAGAATAAGCAGTTAAGAGCTTGTCTTTTTTTTTTTACTTTTTCTCTCTCTTTTTGTCATGTTCCCTCTTGTTTTCAAATAGATTGTTTTTGGTTTTTTATGTGGCCCTCGACCCACCCTGAAGGTTAACTCAATGTATGTTATTAATAAACTTGCATATTGTCCCATTTTAATAATGCATCATTGGTGGCTTGAGTTGAGAGAAGGTTTTTCATGTGGTGTCCGGGTTGCCCCAGGACCACATGCATAACACAAAGTAATAAAGCTCCACTCCAGCTGTTTTAATCCCCTAAAAAATCTTTAAATTGTATGATTGAAAGATTTTCCTTCATATGTCCACCATTGCTTATTCATTCCACAAAAATCTCTAAATATTGTAGAACCTGAGCTTTCCCACATCCCTGACTGCATGCAGATGACACAGGACTTCTGTCTTTCCTATGATATGACATGACCTGGAATAATTACAGCGTTAACTACCGAAAAAGGATGTCATGTGAGAGCATCAGAATGGATCAACCTGTTTCTGCAATTCAATCAAAGGGCTTGCTGCTCCTGGTTAATCCTTGTGAGGGGAAAAAACTGCAAACTAGGGCATGTGAAAAAAAAAACGGATTCATATTTACTGGAGCAGCATCAGGCTTTAGCTGTTTTTGGGTCGCATTTTCAAAGCAGCTGTCCAGAGAATAAGACTTTCTCTGGAGTTTTGGACCCATTTTATACACTCCAAATACACCTTACTTACGCCTTATTTTTCATTGTTTTACATATCCTTGTAGGACATAACTGTTCACAGAATTTTTACATTTATTTTTTTTAATCAAACCAATAAACATAACACGAGAGTCCTGTCATCTACAAGACAACAAAAAAACATGACAAATTGCGTCTCTTTACCAATGCTAGGACTTTTCCTACTCGGCTCTTGGAAACTTTTCATCATATCTTGCCTACGTTTTTTGGTTTGATTCCACAGGTTTGGCTCCCCTCACATTCAGCGTAGATCATATCTGACCATGCAATTTTTAAACTGAAGTTAGCACTCTGCAGGTTTAAGTCACTATATCATAATGTGTTTAATGATAACTTTTGAATATATGTGTCGTTTTCCTGGTGACCACACTGTGGCAGTGTTTACTATAAGATCCCAGTAAGAGCATCTTGTTTGGTGCTTTTTTTAGGTCAATATTGGCATGCTTAAATTCCTCTGCAGACACACTAATATACAGAACCTGCTGCTGTGTCCGAGGAGGCAGTGGGAGGAGAGAAATGTGAAATACAAGAAAATACATTTTATTTTTTTCTTTGCGCATCTGGCAACAAGTGTCGCTACATCAGTAGAACGTGATTACTTCTACAAAACTGACTTTATCCTGGAGCTCGTTGGAAGACTCCACAACGTCGATGTAGAAAGAAAGTGCGTTCCACAGCTATTCAAACTACTGAACACACTGTTCAGCTTCATCAACCAATGACCAACACTTTCACAGCACAAGTATTTGTCACCCATATTTTTTTTTAAAGTAGGATTTCCCCATATCAAATCAGATGGTGTGAAGTCAAACCCATTTCAACTCCACAAAAAATATGGAATCTGTACAAAGGCCGAGCTACTTTACACAAAACTTTGACTTTGACTAAGTAACCGTAGAAAAGTCATGTGCAAGGCACTATGGTAATGAGAGAACAGCATTATGAGGTTACGGTGACAACAACTGTATCAAAACAATGGGAAAATATCAGCAAAAGGCGACAAAAATACAGCATGTCATAATGTGACAGAGCAAAAAAATGAAACCAAATATCTTTCTTTTTTTTTCTTTCCGAGAAGAGTTCTGTAACAGTTCATAGTCATCACAATGTCAGCAACAATAAAAAATATAAGTAAACCTGTCCTAAATTAGACGACGGAGACAGAGAGACTTTATAAATCACAGTGAAGATTTTAAGTGATTTATTACATAATACTATGCAGGATGGAAAATTTCAGCTGGCGCTTTGACTGTCTGTATGTTCTGTGAGATTGCTCTAAACAATAATGCGCAAAATATCTCCAAAACTACATCTAGACTCGTTTTACACATCTCTATCCTGATGCTAGCTGGCATTTGTTGGTGCAGGATTTCAAGGCTTCACATGTAAAAATCCATAAACCTTTTTCAGATATGAATAAAAAAGAATGGATAGGATCACTCGCATGCCATGCATTAAATCTCAAGAAAAGCTTTTTTTCATCCCGAACTCACTGCCACAGCGTTGCAAGAAATGAGCATCACTCTAATATGTTTCCTGCCTGTTCTATTCCTTCTCCACGCGGGCCATAAAGCACAAAGTGTGGTCCAAAACACAGTATTAGAGCGGGTCCTGGCCATGTGGCTGCTGATACAGAATACTGACACTGCCTTTTGTATACTGAGCGTGCTGGTGAGAGAAGCACACACGCTGAAGCCAAAAGCCCAGGTGCATCAAGGCAAAGCAGCTGAGCGCTTTTATGCATCTGTGGCCTCATAGAGTCTTGTAAGGAGCTGGTAAACTTTAACACTGGCTGGTCTTGTCGGGGCAAATGAAGCGCTCCTGCTCCTTTTCCTCTGCGTTCATGTCAGCCGGCTTGTCCCGGCAGGGCTTGAGGTTTTCCTGCTTGTCGCTGCTCTTCTGAGCTTTCTGGAGCTGGCGCTGTCGCTCTTCACTGTGCCACATGCCGTAGCCAAAGTAGATCAGAAAGCCTGTGAAGAGGGGACATTTTTGAGGGGACACAAGATATCTGACAAAACTGTTTTGTCAAAAAACAGTTCTTTCTTGAATATTAGAAACATGAAATTTAAATAAAACATAATGAACTAAATTGATGATAATAATGAATAATAGTATATATATATATATATTTATTTTATTTTATTTTTTTTATTTATTTATTTATTTATTTATTTATTTATTTATTTATTTATTTATTTATTTATTCATTTATTTATTTATTTATTTATGTTCAAGGGATCCATCCATTGGTTTCCTAAGCTGGTATCCTCAGGTTCTGAACAAAGTGTGTGTAAAGATTAATGTTGTACCACTATTTTTTTTATTTCTTGAACTATTAGTTAACAACTTAAAGCACAATAAATTCATGCTTACTTCTGTCAACTTCAGTAAAAGTAAACCTGATTAACCTCTTCTTGTTTGAAAGAAACAGTTGGTCTACTATAAATAACTAGTATGATTTGCAAACAGAAATATCTACATGTAGCCTTTTCACTCCAGTCTTCATGCTGAGCTAAGCTTAGAGAAACAAAGCTCAACTATGGCACCTTTCACTCGTCTGGATCACCGCATTTTTAAGTTTGTTCATTCGTTTCTGTTTTTTGGTGTAACACGCAACAAAATAAAATAAATCCTAAATCATCACAAAAGTTGATTTTCTAACAAGAGCTCTTGAATTAGCCATTGAGGGTTGCTCACCTATAGCCATCCAAACAGAGAAACGTATCCAGGTGTCGCCACTCAACTGAACCATGAGGTAAATATTGACAAAAATGCTCAGAATAGGCAGATAAGGCAGGAGAGGTACCTGTAATGATAATAATCATGCACAATTTTTATTTTTATTTTCAATGTGCTAAATGGAAATCTCCTAACAATCCAGGACATGATTATAAAACAGGAAAAAAAGAGATATCCATACCATGAAGGACACTTTTTTGCTAGTCTGAGGCTGCCTGCAGACCATGAGGACGCATCCGGTGAAGATGAGGAGACAAACAGACAGCAAAACCAGAATCCACACTTCCAAATAAAAGATGGCGTAGATGTGGTATGTGGTGAGGTAGCTGATGACACACACCACCATTACTGTGGTTTAAAGACACAAAGGAGGTTAAAGAAACGCCTGGAGTGGGTCCGGAGGAAATCTCACGAGATGCAGAATGCATACCTAGCACACCGATGGACATGTTGACCACACTGGACGAATTCTCAGAAGGTGAGGCGGGGGGTTCCAGGACAGTCTGTAGGGCTGAGCCACCTCCTTTCAGCATGTTGAGGTGGGACTCTGATTCCGTCAAATCTGACTCACCCTCCTCATATGACAAGTAGTCCCTTTCTCCTTTTCCCACATGTCCCTCCATTGTTCCATCTGGCTGGTACCTGAATGTCAAAGTCATCAACACTTGTGCTTTATTAAAAGTTAGAGCTCTAAAAACTATACTGTGCTTCCAGGGCCATATTTTTAGTTGTGGAACAAAACCTATAGAACAAAAAATGCATTCATGCACCTTTCTCCAACCCTTGAATTGTGAAATAGCTCAAAACATTTGGTTCTACTCTGCAAAACAAGTGAGGATCTGAATCCAGTTTAAACTAGATAATGAACTGTGAGCGTGTGTTTCTCAGGTTGTGGTGATGAGTCTACACTGTGTTACCAACAGAGGTGTTTCAGGCCCAGAGTTTAGCCAGAGTAAAAAAAAACCTAAGTAAACACCTTCATTTATTCAAGCAGCCACTTAATGTTCATACAATGGGAGCATTCACAGCTCTTACATCACCAGCATGATGCAGTAACAAACAGGGCAATCATGCCTGTGGGCATTTGAAAGAACCTATTAGAGAAGCACTTTCACAATCTTGTGCAAATAGGATTTCTCCCGAGTTGTATTCTCGGAGATGTTTATAAATGTACCCACCTGAGAATCAGCACACACACAGCAACCAACGAGTAGGCCAGCAGAGTTCCAATGGACATCATGTCTACCAGGGCTTTGAGGTCAAACAGGAAAGCCATGATGGCTGCAGAAAGCAAAAGATAAGAAGTTAACAGGACATAATCACCTTTTCAGAGCAAATTCTTCAAAAATGGGGTCATTACAGATCATTAGAATGATTCCAAACACGTTAGTTTACACCCACATACACACATTAAACATCCAGTACTAATGTTCATGAATTAAAAAGCGGTACAAAGCCCTTTTTCTTCATATGTACTATCGAACAAGAGTCAACAAACGCAAAATGAATTATCATGCAAACATGTTTTCATGATAAAGGAGAGAAGTTCCATGTTTCCCAGCTCTCACATGACGGCTGGAATCATTTTCCATGCCGAGTACCAATCAGTAAGAGAAACGCTGCGTGCTGGTCTCAGCTCCATCTTGTATCTTGTATCTCAGCACTGGGCTGCAACATGGAGCTGATCTCAGGCGCACAGTTCAAACACACAAAAAAAGAGTAAAATCATGCTTGCTGGCTCTGTGTTGTCAGGTGCTTAGCACATGGCCTGTGGTGGTGGTGGTGGTGGTGGTGTGCTGGGTCCCTCCTAGTGTTAACATCTGCCAACCATTCCACCAGGTCATTCCAGCTGTAGGCCTTAGTCACAATGTCGCAGCATGCGGTGCCGCTATGTACTGAACAACTGAAGCGTACCAAGCAGGAAATCTTTAGAAGCAGATATTCTTAACGCAGCGTGAGCACCACATCAATCCACAAAGGCCAGGCTGTTTACTTTATTGTTACGTAAGACGGTGAATGCCATTATGTGTGTGAGTTTGGCTTATGTATTTACAGCTTGATGAAAGTACACCTTCTTTCAACTGTAAAGCTTTATGTGTCGAGACATGTCGAGACATGATTAAAATAATGTAAATATGACCACACGTGAACAACTCATGGCCCTCTACACTGTCTCATCATGCATGAGAACTTCCAAATGCATCCGTTGGAGTACGCGCATAGTTTCTGTTTCACCTCATATTCACTAAAAGCAACTGTCTCCATTCAAAGTATTACTGCTCACATACAGTACATGTGTAGGTGAAGGTTTCACTGTAAGATTCCAGAAAAAGGCACTCATATTTCCTAGGGATACGAAAGGCAGCCACGTTAAACAATCATCGACTGCTATTCAAATTCACCAAATTCACCAATGATCTTAGAGGAGCTTTTGATGCTGTGGAAGGCTTATAATGCCCTCCAAAACCTCCTGGACCTATTAAGGACGAAAGCCAAAAGTCTCCCTGGGTAGGGATGTTCCAGCAAATTCAGTGGAGAGGTTGCACTGAATCGTGTTGGGTCATACATACATGCTGCCAAACAGTAGTGGAAGGCTAATACTTTTGCCCTGTTTTGTTACCACTGCACGGCAACACTTTGCAGCCATTGAGTCAGATTTGAAATTTCATGTACCACCAAAGTAGTGGCTTACAAGTTTGTTATTCATTGTTTCAGTTTGACCATAGCAATTATTCCTCTCTCTGCAGAGTTTTTACTCAAGTCTTGGGTCAAGCCTTTGCTCTTTTGCATGCCCACATGTCCCTCATCAGTGCCAGAACCACAGCTTTTGACTGAGGCATCTCTACACCCACATCAGACAGCTGACACAGGACAACCAGAACCAAAGTCTCAGAGGGCCTGAATTTGCATGGGAGCGTCAGTCTTCTAAGTCATTCTTTGTTGTTTCTGACTTCAGTGCCTTCGCCTTTGCTATTTGTGTTGCAGACCCAGTCCATGCGCACCGGGTTTGCCTCGTCAGGATTTTTGGGTTGAAAGTGGTGGGCCACATTCACTTCTGTTGCCTGTGGCGTCCCGGGGCAGGGCGCTAACTCATCTGTTCCTGTCTTCTACTGATCACCACCTTCCTAGGTTTGGTGCCCATCTGCCAGAGGAGGGTGTGTTTAACTGGATCCTCTGGCCTCCTGTCCATCTCCGTTTTGACAGTTCCTCCAGCCCCTGGAGGGGCCTCTGCTGGGCCACTGTAAGACTTTTGAACATTTTTGTTAGCCTTGCTGGCTTGAGTCCAGTTCAGTGGGCCTGCTTTATTGGTCCCTTTGTTCCCTCAACCTGCGCAACACACTTTGGTGGAAAATATCTGTAAAAAAGAGTGCTATAATTCCCTCACAGTTATGTGAGACTGAAAATACAGAAAGAGATAACTCCAATTATCATTTCATGGTAAGTTAAACCTTTAAAACGAAAGATGGTGTACTTTCTTTTTCACGTGACTGTACATGTACACAAGTGTAATAAATGCAGAAAAGAATATGTTCATTTTCATTTAAAAAAGCTACAAAGAAAAACTAAATGTACATCAGTCAATATGGATTCTTCATATTTACAGTGTAAAACTTTTCTTATCCTTATATTATCTGTGGCGAGGTATGTGTGAACGTCAGTCAATCTGATTTAAAACAAAGAAAAACCTATGCTATAACCCTTCTATAACCTATATATGTTTATTTTATCAACACAAAACTAACAATGTCAGGATGCACTTAAATAAACCTTGAAGCTGGCCAGTAGGTTGACAGCAGATGTTTAGGATATGGTGGTGAGGATAATTGCGTAATAATGCCTTATAACTGTTTCACAAAGTGCCATGAGACTATGTTTTCGAACTGTAACCTGTTCCGAACTTGTAATTTCCTCCTTCCTGGTATGTGATGTGTATTCAAAGTTTTTATAAATGGGCTATCTAAACTTGTAAAGCTGTGTGTTGAACGCATCATTTTTAAAAACAGTTTTTTTCCAACATGCTTTTGGAAACACTGTCACAAAGGTCATGCAGTAACCACCACCAGCCGATTACAAAGTACAAAGGAAAACAAAAAATTAAACAACTCCACAATACAACCCAATGTTAGGCGAGTCCTTCTCCAGGAGCTTACCCGCAGTGGTACCTGCTGCCATGGTGGCAGCCACTGGTGACTGGCGCTTACTCACTTTGGACATAAATTTGAACAGAATACCATCTCGTGCCATGGCAAAGAGAATGCGCGGCAGAGGGAACATGGAGCCCAAAAGGCTAGGGAGAAGAGGGTTCATGGTTAAGTTGAGGGCACTCTGGGAAAGAAAACATGACACCTGCACAACTGTGAAAGAACAACAGGCATATACAGAAGCAAGCACTCCAATAGACTACATCCAATTTTAAATCTGAGAGAGCATTGGGCCAATTTCACCAAAACATAAACCAGCTGATTCATCTACACTGACTCCATTGTGTCTTTCACAATTGATTGGTGGAGAAACATTAGCTGTGTGACCTCATTTGGACGCTCCCCGGCTCTCACCTGCAACTACACCGGAGCTCATTGTGGCAATAACTGGGGTCTTCGTCTTAGGATTGATTCGGGCTAAGGCTTTGAAAAGCACCCCATCCTCTGCCATAGCATAGATTACACGAGGCATGGGGAAAATGGAGCCCAGCAGACTGCATGAGACAGCAGAGACATGCAAGACCAACACGTTAGTCAAGAGCCCCAAAACCCAGATGAACACACAGATAGCGACAGTATCAAAGCCTCAGTGAATGATTCAAGTCAATGAGTGTCTTTCTTTCCAGTCAGTAATTTCATCCTTGTCAGTCTCCTTTTATTTACTTAGAACAAGCACTGGGTGTTCTCAATAGAAAATCACTCAGTATTGATCTCTAAAGAGCATACTTCCAATAGGTTTTGAAGAGGTGTCCCAAAAGATGTATGTTAAAGCAATTTTACGTTGACTGTCTTGCGTCATAGTCCAGAATGTCCTAACATTGATAGCTTAAACTCAAATTACAGGCACTGACTTGTACATAATTTGACTGATTAAAGTCCACTCTGGCAACAGCCACATCAATGTAGATCATGAGATGAGTAGATGAATGACAACAACAAGCGTTTGTTTACAGAACACGGAGTGACAATTGTTACTGACAGGGAAGAATGACAAGATTAAATTGACATCGATATATTGTTTTCGAGACACTCTCTGACTTGCTCAGCAAACTTTAGTGCATGTTGCAACACATCGGTGTCTCGAAAAAAACAGAGGGAATTACACACCGCGCCCACCACATGCTTTAAAGCGACAGGGAATCAATCCAATTACAAGACACTTACGGAGACATGTAGTCAAAACTGTTGACCAAATCTCCTTCGACACTATCCCCAGTTTACAACGTCTACATCAACCAGACATGGAAGATACATGTTCTGTCTCAATTTTGTTAAAGAAAAGGAAAGCAATACCTGGTAGAAAGGGCACACAGTGAACCCACAGCGACCACATACTTGGCAGGACCCCAACCCACATATTCAAAGGCCATTGGCAAAGGGCTTTTCTCATCCAGGAGGTAGTAGGGCATCATCAGGGTGAGCGCAGCTGACACCCCAAAGTATGCCAGAAAGCACACAGTGAGCGACACTACGATGCCAATGGGAATGGCCCTCTGAGGATTCTTTACCTCCTCGCCTGACACAAAAAGACATACAATTTAAATATGATCATGTTAAGTGTTCAGGAAGGTGAGAAACACTAAATCACAACCGGTTGATGACCCACCTGTTGTCGCAATGCAGTCAAACCCGACAAAAGCATAGAAGCAAGTAGCAGCTCCTGCTAGCGTCCCGCTGAAGCCATAGGGCATGAATCCTCCAACACCATAATCACTGCTTACATTGGTCGTCACTGACAAGTTTCTGAAACACACATATCTTAAATTCAAACAAATGTTCCAGGGTGGTACTGATCTGTGTACTTTGGTATGGATTACTGGCAGTGCAGACATACAGTAGGGTAAGGGATAGGGTTATGGTTAGTGACCAACTTACCTTGAGATTATGGTGACGTTTATGAGGGACTCTTCTGAAATTTTCCAGTTGTGTGTGTCCCCTTTGACAAAGCCAGAGACGATGACAAACAAGAGCACAAGCACGTTGATTGCAGTGAAGACTTTGTTAACCCAGGCTGATTCCTTTACTCCGAACGACAGGAGTCCTAGATTAGCACAAACACAGCAGAGCAGAACAGAACTTGTTTATTTGTGCCTTTCTTTCTTCATCTTAGATTCCTTAGATGACTCTTGTGACTTTTAATCAAGTAGAAAAGGCAGAACAGTTTATATAGAGAGGGAAAGGGCATGTTTTTTCATAGGAATTACATTTTTTTATCATTTTCGGTCACTATAAAAGGTACTTGACAAAGCACGCTCAGGTTTGGTGGTTTTGAACCACAATAGCCCAAGTCAATGTAAAAAGCCCCAGTCTCAGAATGGAGTATGGCTTGGAACATGTTCAATACAAGTGCCACCCATTGTTTTCAACTCATAAAGCTACAATTAGCAAGCCTGGACAATAAACTCTTACGTGGAACAAAAACTTTGCCCTACTGCATTTTGGTGACGCTCAATGTGACATCATTCCCAGCTCCTATTAACAACCAAGTCCAGTAAAATATGTCATCTTACTATAGGGACACGCCAGCTCATGGTGCAAGATATGAGTACATGTACCAATTTCCAGTCACAATCAAATCAGATTTCAATCATTATTGGGCCGAAGCATGGGAGCCATTGGGGAATACCACTTAATAGCTTTTTGATTCAGTTGGATCAGTTTTGTCAGTTACCTGAACTCATACAAAAAACATATTTTACAGTTGAGGTTGTTGCTCCTAAAACTTGAGACAAACCATTAGCATGTAAGCAAGCCTACACATCCACCATGATTGAACAACAACATATGCAATTCTGCAAGTTCAAGATTAGCTCAGAGGTATTTGAACATAACGGTGATATAACCCTGGCTCAGGCTAAGCACTTACAAATATCCTAGAGTATCTTCTCATCAAATCGTAACTGCTATCTGAATGCCTTAAGAGAATATTCCTCAACTATACTATAATTTACGAATGATATGTGCAGGTGACGGTGGCTTATTGCGTCATCTTTTTCTGGTCATATCAGCACAGGCACAGTTTGCTTTTGCAAGAAATGCACCTGGTGAACTTTTCTCTTTGGTGGAACCGTAAACAAAAGAAATGCTAAGTCGTCCGATAACGTACATCAATAATTTTGATAAACTCAATAAAGCTGTCGAGTAAAGTTTGCGAATGCTCGTTTTGGAACATTTTCAGTGTGCCTCTCAGTGAGCACCATGTTGTTTTTTGGTCAGTGATTGTCCTGCCATATGACATCTTCACAAAAACAGCTAAACACTAGCAGATTGTTTCTGGGAACGCTGACCTAATGTAATCATCCCATTGGCAGACCCGCTGATAAGACCCATGATAAATCTTTCAATTTCATCCAAAGGTGGAATGTAACAAAACATGTCTGGTTTGGCCATTGCTCTGTCTTAAATTAATCTGCTAGCAATAAAATATAGAGTAGTCTCTAAGCTTTTGAAAGTACTGTTAAGACTTCAGAAGAGCCTCTAAAGTGACTTAATTCAATATGGAGCTTAAAAAATAGGTGTTTTTTGTGCTGTGACTGTAAGAGAAGGGGTTTAGGTGGGCCCTCCAGAGTGCATGTGCTTTGCCCCCGCTTTGACACAGTGTCCTGCCAATCAGTTATTGGATTATATCAGCTATGGATCATGAGTTTAGCTGTATCGATTCAAGATTTTTTTCCTACACTGTAGAGTCTGTGTCATCGCATCATTTTACCACAGCTAACTTTTCATTTGCTGTCTTACCAGACAGCAGCAGAATCAGGCAGACGGCAAAGAAATCGGGGTATTGAGCCAAACCGGGAGAGTTCATGCTGAAGTAGGTTTTGCAGAACCTCTCTATGTGTCCTCCTATCATTTCATCAAATGTGCCACTCCATGCTCTGGCAACCGAGGAGGTACCTATAAGGAAACAAAGAGCAGACTTTGTGGGTAACTAGCACTTGAACAGCGTCATCAAGTAGTTGTCAAGAAACTCACCAATTACGTAGGAGAGGATTAGGTTCCAGCCGGTGATGAAGGCCCAGATCTCCCCAACAGTCACATAACTGTATAGGTAAGCAGAGCCAGTCTTGGGAACGCGGGCACCAAACTCGGCGTAGCACAGGCCAGCCATAACGGATGCCAAAGCAGCAATCAGGAAGGAGATAACGATGCTAGGACCAGAGTTTCCCTTTGCCACCTCTCCTGCCAAGACATAGACACCGGCACCAAGGGTGCTACCAACTCCCAAGGCAATGAGGTCGACGGTTCCAAGGCAGCGGCACAGCTTGGAGTCCTCCAGGCTACTGAGGTCGACCACTTTCCTGCGCACCAAGGAGCGGCCAAATGAAAGAACCTGCCCGAGCATGTTTCGTCCTGTTCAAAGCGAGAAACAGGAAAGATAGGAAAATACACTGTGAGAATACCTGATTTTGTGCCCCAGGGATCCATGGGTAATTACTTTCTATATGTTTACAGTATGAGAGCCTCGAAAGAGCACCCACACAGACAGAAAAAACACAAATATATTTTGGCTCTGCTTGCTAAATTTGCAAGTAGGTAGAAACCAAACAAACCTGTAGATTCATTGCAGCAATAAGTGGATCACTGAACTTGCATAATTTTAACTACTTAGCAGAAGGAGCTAGAGCTACGAAACCAAAGGTCAGGTCTTATAGTGCAGCTTGATTTTTGCTCAACTTGAGTTAAGTTCGGAGCTCTTGAAGCTAATTCCATTGAAAACTGCTGAAAAGTCAGTTATATAACATGCAAGCTGACAGGAAGGTTAACTCTACAAACTCTGACGTGCATTTCAGGAGTATTGCCAAATGTGGCAGCATGGCACAGTTCATAAACCAGGCTCTCTCTGAAAACTATTGTTTGGGGTTATAGTGCAGATCTAAGTAGTCAAAGAGCTGCATTAATTAGAAGACTATGAATGCAACAAAAAGACATCCAAGTAAAACGTCCCAGTAGCCCTCTCTGCTTATTACATAAAACCAACTGAATAAAGAAAGAAGCTGTTCTTTGTTGTCATTGTCTGGCACATGGACATTCATAAGATATACAGTCAGGGTGCTGAAAAACCATTGCAATGTGATAGATAAAATGTGATTAAATGAATAAGCTCTGCTGCCCACTGAATAATTTGTACCATGCTTTGAAGTTTAGGGTCTGTCTTTGACCCTAAACTGTGATTATCTTGACCACAAATGCACAGTGACAACCATTCAAATGTGCATTGATGTGTGCTGCACAGTGGATTTTTACACACAGAAGCTCTGATTGTGACAGCTCATTAACATTATAATGCTGGCTGTATTACGCAATGTTCATGAATACAGTGCACCAGTATGGAAGATAGAAGAAAATAATGTTAATTCTAGCTATGCAAAAGAAAAATGCAAAGTAGTTTTAAAAGATCACAAGAACTAAATACATACTGTTAGAATGTCAACTTTAACCATAAAATTGATGCATCAGTCATTCCAAACTTATGTAGAGCAACACTGGAAGATGTGTGTCACACTACCTCTTAACTGTAGACAGGCACTTACCTTTCAATATAACTGTTTGAAAATGGCAGATGCAAGTTCAGTCTGAAAAAAGCTGCAAGAAATCTCAGTAACTTTCCTCTTCAACTGCACAGAAACCACAGGTACAGTTCAAATAAGTTGTACTGATCCTGTGAACATTCTCCTCAAACCCAACTAGTATGCTGAGCGCTAATTCACTATGCAAGCATGATAACTGTGCAGGGCGGTAATTTTACTCCTCCCCTCTGTCCCCTCATAGGATCTGCCCTTGCCTTGCCCCCAAAATCAGTTTACAGTGCGCCACAGCCAGGGGAGTGACGTCCACAGCAGAGTAAAGGGGCAAGAAGGAAGGTGGGGACACAAGGAGAGAAATTAAGCTTGAGAGAGTTGGGATGTGGGGGGGTGGGGGTGCATTTTACATCCATGCTTGTGGTTTGAGGGAGTGAATCTTTATGAAGCATTGCTCCATAAGCTGTCCTCTCAGGATTGTGCAGCAAAGCAGCTGTTTTATGATCATTTTCTGTAGGAATCATTCCTCAGGCATATTCAGATCCCAGCTGTCCAGATGTTTATTGACTACTGATAAATGGTTAAGCAAATTTCACCGACAAGCAGTGAGGCAGACACTGTTTGCCTAGTGCAGTGTACAGGAGCGCTGCTAAAAGCATGGGTACTGATTGGTCAATGAAGGGTGGATAGTGCTGCGGTAGAGGAGGGGGGGTAAGTCCTCCTAATGGAAGACAGGTATTGCTCAATGTACCCTGAGCTATTGCACCCGTGAACATAATAAAATCAATTACACAGCACTCTGTGCTACGCCACCAAATAGCCTGACATCTCCACAGCGACTTCAGACTCAAGCTTGAGCACTCGTAAGGAACGAAAAAGAAAATCCATACAATCACACTGTCCTTTTGTCCCCCCGTCAAACACAACTTGAGAATCGTAAGAATGGTTAAGTTTACAGAGGAGAGTACTTTTGCTAAGACCAGTTCAAACCAGCTTAAGACCTCAGTGGGAAGGCGGCAGCTGGCCCCCGGTGAAGCTTCGTCAAGCTCACCAGACCCAGAGACTCGACGGCATGACAGCAGCCAGCTTTTTCTCAGTTTGTCGATCCAGCCAAAGCAGCCAAATATCATGGACGATTGCCCACCAAGGCTTGGCTACTGGGGCTCAGTATCTGACCTGCATGCTGATGGGAAAGCAAATGCTTTCCTTAGTGGAGAGCTGACAGAAGACAAACTGTAAGCACCGTCGAGCTTAGTCAAGTCAAGTCACGGACCACGCATCATTTGATGTAGTTTATTACTTTTAAATAGTCTCCAGAGCAATTTTCAGTCATTTTTTAACCATTTTAACTATTAGAACGTTGAAATAACACATTTGAGAGAGTGTCACCCACTATGATATAGGAAGAGTAAACTATTTTCTTTAAAGAATTCTTCTCATGCAGCCTGTACTGTAACCATGGAAAGGATGGATAGGAGTCAACTGGCTTTCAGTATTTCGTTGTTGACATGCGCTAATAGTGTGAAGCCAATTGAATGCATTTGGCCTCCGATGGCTGAGTGACCTAGCTTCAAAAACATGGACACGGTCAACAGATTGAGTGGTGTTTGCCAGGCAGACTGTGAGCCTGCTCGCTCCAGTTAACACTGTTGTCACCAGGAAATGTTACAGTGCACAATTACTGATAAGGCAGATAAATGTGAGAGTGGGATCCAGATTTAGAACTTCAGTGGTCGTTGCAGAAGATGCTGAGGCTTCATTTGAAGGAAAAGTTTTGTGCACCAAAAGGAACTTATCACATGACATGAAAATTAGGCATGATTAGGCATGAATCATGCCTAAATGAACTTTTAAAGTGGTCAACAATGATGGTGGAGCTACTCGTTATTGAGTCCTTTTTTTACATTCTAACTTTGCTAACTTTAGTCAGCAATTTCTTTACCTTGTCTACATATATATATATATATATATATCAGTGGTGGGCCGTCAGGGCCTGCAAGGTCTTCTCTGATGTTAATTATATTTTGTCGATGGAAACTTATTAAATATCTCTAAATAGTCTGTACGCTTCCTTTCATAGCTTTTCCCCTGGTTGCGCTGCTTCCAGACATGCATTTTCAAATAAAAGCATTTAACCAATCAAATTTCAGCCTTCATTTGTCGCTAGGCAGGGTCAAAGTCAAAGATGTCTGCCAGGAGGCCTTCACAATCCGTTCTGCAGGCCCCCCCAACAGAAAATACATGTCCAGTACACTGTTGCTTTAACCAATCAGATTTTAAGTTGGTAACACCAGGGCCTTCTAGAAGGCCAAAGGCAACGTCACCGTTGCTGATTGGATAGTCAGATATCCAATCAGCGGCAAAGCTAGCCAAAACCGAAATATAGTTGTGTTGGTGTAATAGCTATTTTAGGATTTGGTGGCGGATTTACTGTCAAAATGTCGATCCAGACTCCAGATCCATTTCTTTTAAAAGTCCGATCCCAAATGAGCATTAGCATTAGCATCTCCTAACCCACAGGTCTGTGTCCTAAACTTTAAGTTGTTACAAGAGTAAATCCCTGTTCAACATGAGTCTGACAACTAAGTAGATAAATAACTTTAAACTTTAATACAAAAAGCTGGATCGGGACATCCCTACTGTATTTCTACATAATAAGATGATTTCTATAACCATAAAATAGTTATTGAGGGGTGAATTGATTCAGACGAGCACTACTGAAGGCCCAGGTGTGAAATACACGGTCCGCCACTGATATGTTTACATATACACTACCGTACAAAAGTTTGGGGTCGCATTGAAATTTCCTTATTTTTGAAGGAAAAGCACTGTACTTTTCAATGAAGATAACTTTAAACTAGTCTAAACTTTAAAGAAATACACTCTATACATTGCTAATGTGGTAAATGACTATTCTAACTGCAAATGTCTGGTTTTTGGTGCAATATCTACATAGGTGTATAAAGGCCCATTTCCAGCAACTATCACTCCAGTGTTCTAATGGGACAATCTGTTTGCTCATTGGCTCAGAAGGCTAATTGATGATTAGAAAACCCTTGTGCAATCATGTTCACACATCTGAAAACAGTTTAGTTCATTTCAGAAGCTACAAAACTGACCTTCCTTTGAGCAGATTGAGTTTCTGGAGCATCACATCTGTGGGGTCAATTAAACGCTCAAAATGGCAAAAAAAAGAGAACTTTAATCTGAAACTCGACAGTCTATTCTTGTTCTTAGAAATGAAGGCTATTCCATGCGAAAAATTGCTAAGAAATGGAAGATTTCCTACGACGGTGTGTACTACTCCCTTCAGAGGACAGCACAAACAGGCTCTAACCAGAGTAGAAAAAGAAGTGGGAGGCCGCGTTGCACAACTGAGCAAGAAGATCAGTACATTAGAGTCTTTAGTTTGAGAAACAGACGCCTCACAGGTCCCCAACTGGCATCTTCATTAAATAGTACCCGCAAAACACCAGTGTCAACATCTACAGTGAAGAGGCGGCTGCGGGATTCTGGGCTTCAGGGCAGAGTGACAAAGAAAAAGCCATATCTGAGACTGGCCAGTGAAAGAAAAAGATTAAGATGGGCAAAAGAACACAGACATTGGACAGAGGAAGACTGGAAAAAAGTGTTGTGGACGGATGAATCCAAGTTTGAGGTGTTAGGATCACAAAGGAGAACGTTTGTGAGACACTAAACAAATGAAAAGATGCTGGAAGAATGCCTGACGCCATCTGTTAAGCATGGTGGTGGTAATGTGATGGTCTGGGGTTGCTTTGGTGCTGGTAAGGTGGGAGATTTGTACAGGGTAAAAGGGATTCTGAGTATGGAAGGCTATCACTCCATTTTGCAACGCCATGCCATACCCAGTGGACAGCGCTTGATTGGAGCCAATTTCATCCTACAACAGGACAATGACCCTAAACGCACCTCCAAATTATTATTATTATAATTATTATTATTATTAAACTATTTAGAGCAGAAGCAGGCAGCTGGTATTCTATCGGTAATGGAGTGGCCAGCGCAGTCACCAGATCTGAACCCCATTGAGCTGTTGTGGGAGCAGCTTGACCGTTTGGTACGCAAGAAGTGCCCATCAAACCAATCCAACTTGTGGGAGCTGCTTCTGGTAGCGTGGGGTGCAATTTCTCCAGGTTACCTCAACAAATTAACAGCTAGAATGCCAAAGGTCTGCAATGCTGTTGTTTCTGCAAATGGAGGATTCTTTGACAAAAGTGAAGTTTGATGTAAAAAAATCTTATTTCAAATACAAATCATTATTTCTAACCTTGTTAACATCTTGACTCTATTTTCTATTCATTTCACAACGTATGGTGGTGAATAAGTGTGACTTCCATCCATCCATCCATTATCAATACCGCTTATTCCCTGATGGGGTCGCGGGGGGAACTGGAGCCTATCCCAGTGGTCAACGGGCGAGAGGCAGGATACACCCTGGACAGTCCGCCAGTCTATCGCAGGGCCACACACAGGACAAACAAGGACAAACAACTAAGTGTGACTTTTCATGGAAAACACTCAATTTTTTGGGTGACCCCAAACTTTTGAACGGTAGTGTATATATATATATATATTCATTTATGATATCTATCCCACACTTATCCTATAATTTCATATTCCTAGCCACAGTATATATTGAGACCTAAGCAGTTTGTTTATTCATCTGAGTTGTTTTTTCCCACTCATTGAAAAGGTTAGGGAAAAAAGCTACAATTCTCTCTGTGAAAGTCTTTTAATTATTTGTATGCCAACAAGGTGCAGCATTATGACTGTTGTCAAATTATGTATAAATCTAAAAATGTATATTGTTGAAACTAAACCTTGTTGGTGAGTGGAATAGACAACACAGGACGTTAGCATTTTGTAACTTCTTTTTTTGGCAAGAAAAAATTTACACAAAAATATTTGAATGACTTTGAAAAAGGCGCAATATAGAAAAAAGCGATGTTTGCACCATAACCCCAACAGAGATAAAGATAGGACACTAGACGCAAAAATGCATGTGACTAGCATGTGGTGTTTTTTTTTAAATAAACATACCGTACTTCGTCAAAAAACCAAATTCACCCTTTATGAACACCCTTTTCCTGAAAGAAGTAGCCTCTTTCAGCAGGATAATTCCCCCAGCCAAAGTAAACCTGTTCAGCAATTGTTTGAAAAAGGCAACAACAAGTTTTAGGTCTTACCTCGGCCTCCAGATCATCAAAACGTAAGCAGTAGATAGATAGATAGATAGATAGATAGATAGATAGATAGATAGATAG